TCATTGATAACAAAATGGATAAATCTAACATTGAAAAGGGTTGTTATTTACCAACTTATGAATTAATAATATATTATTACTCAGAATTCCTTTATTTACACGTAACAACCTAACGAAAAAACATTTTTGCGTTACTATGTTATTCAGTGAAAATATTGACTTCTCAATGGTTATACTGATGTTACGTAGAGCGCCATCTCTTGGTGGTTTTCAAAACCAAACATTATAATTAAACACATTCATTAGATAAAGCGTTTAGATGATCCTTACACAAATAGTAGCTTCACTATTACACATTATACGATTCTTTCAAGAGGTTAATGAAATAAAACCTTTATTACCTTTGGAATTAGAACTCAAACGAATTTGGGGCTGTTTTTATGACTTAGGAGATTAAAATTTTCTTCAATTAATTATAAACCTTAATAAATCCATGGTAGAGTTGAGCTATAGACATATAATACGTTATGCAAGTATGTATGTTGTATCATCAATGTTTAAAAATAAATAAAATTTGATTGTCTGTATGTAATATTAAACAGCTTCTTAACTAATACATAATTATGTATTTATACACAATACATATAGGAAAAATTATTTTGTAACATTTTTTGTCTGTCTGTTTGCTCTGGCTAATCTTTGATATTGTTGGATCGATTTTGACGCGAACGAAGTCGCGGGCACAGCTTATTATTTTATAAAAATAGCGCTATTTTATTGTCAGTGTGGTGTGTCATATAATTAATAAATATGATGCGTTCGTCAGGCGGTGTCGGATGTAGCGGTGGAGCATCATCAGTTGCAGCTGCAGAACCTGCAGGAGGCCGTGGAGACCAGCGAGCCAGAACAATTACCGGTACCGATATATGTATACGGCCATGTTCAGCCTATGAGTTACCCCGCTGCTGGGACTTAGGCCACCCCTATAGATAAAAAACGGACCGACTGTAGGGACTGAAGGCGATAGTGATTATAGATTTCCGGTCAGCTATCCGATGCCCTTTGCGAAAATTTGTTGAATTGAATAGGTGCTGGCAGTTATCGACACTATGTTTTTACTATTTGTATATTTAATTTTTTGCATAGTCAATAAAATGTCGCTTGACGTCAGACCTTTGTACATTTTCTACATAGTTGTGACGTAGCGACCCCCACTCCTCAACTTTAATGCCTTTTTATCTTATCTATTTCTTGTTTAATTGAAACAAACAAAAATGCGTATCTAATATCTTTCTATTAGCTGACTGATTAGAATTACTTTTTGTACCCTATTATAAAAGCAGTTAACACGCCCGCGAAGGTTGTAATCGACACATTAAAATTTATATAATACAAATATATACTAATTTTACGAGTAGTAGTGTGTTGTCATTATTTATATCTTTCAAGTTATTTTAGGCTGACTATATTTATTCTTTACTATCAGCAAAATAAAACAACGTACCGATTAGATAATCAGGAAGTATTTAAAAAAATAGTTCCCAAAACCAAACTAGATGTCGCTACGCTACTTTCTTGATCTCTCGTTTTCTTGCATGTATAAAAATAAATTAACTTTAAAAACTCGATAAACAACTCATATTCTATTTGTACTTTTTCGTATTGATTTCTAAGTTTGCAAATTTCAGTTTTTTAGTTAGTTAAAAGGAACGGAAATGACTATTTTGTTCCATTCGTTTCCTGCTAAAATCGACTTTTAATAGAGTCGCCATCTAGTGAGGTGCTTTTTTAGTTGTTTCCCTTTTCTTTTTTTAAAGTACTTCCTCAATAAAAAAATTTAAATTATTACTGGCTGTACTCTTTGCCGCACTTTTAATGATGAGTCTAATTGCACATACTGTCAACTAGCAGTAAGAGACTATTCATGGTGCCGACAATGTCTCCATTAGGAAAACTCGCTCAGCGACCGTTTCTAATCTGATATAAGATTTTATGTCTATGGTATTTTCAATGAATAATGCAGGTTACAGACGAGGACGGCAATCCCCTGCATTTCACCATGGAGGACGGCACGCAGCTCGCCATCACCCTAGCGGATGGGAAATCTTTACAGGTGGATATGTTTTTATATATTATCTATAGAATCTCGCGTAAAACTTAATGAACTTAAGTATAAAAATATTATATATTTACAGTTCTTGCTCATTATATCAAGTTTTCAAATCTATCTACGCAGGATAACGCTGATATTTAAATTGCATTTAAAATTGAGATAGTATTTAATTACTTGCGTATTTTCTTGTTCTCAGATCGTAACGCAAGACGGCCAAACAATACCAGTAGAAATTAACAGATACAATGAAGAAGTTGAAGAGGTCAGTATAAATAGAGACAGCATTATTCAAGTTTGACATAATTCCAAACCTTGTCACGCTTCATCGGAAGAGGGGAGGGAGGGAGGGGGGGGGGGGAATAAATCTGAGTTCTCAGTGTCATCATTTGATGTTATATCGCGATATCATCTAAAATTTCGGGTTCGATTGTTGTTGGTAATTCGCTTATAAAAACTAGGTATTGGTTTTGCAGTTTTAAATATAATCGTATCTTGGAAATGCCATATATTTGTCTTTGTCATATCGGAGCGACTACGTTATGTATTTCAGGAAGTGGACAATACAGAGACAATAATACAGGATATCGACATCAAGAAGGACGAGGAAGTGATCGAGGACGCGCCCGTCACACATTTTTTCACTATCGTCTGAACTATAAATATATTGCATTGCTATAACACAAGCATAACCCTTACCATTCAGAATGTCCAAGTCCCAAGATAAACAAACTAGTATGATTGGTTTCTTGAATACACTAGTAATACGTAGCAAGCCAGTAGCTAGTAGAGTAAGTCCTCATGACCAGTATTAGAAATATTAAACATTAATGACCTTGCTACATAGGTATTATGTATCTGTGTACGTATTCCACAAACCCATCCTGATATTGTAAATTTTGTGAATAAGACGTTTCGGGAATTGGACATTATGAGAGGTTTTTATTAGCTGCCTTTCCAGCATTTACCATATTTCTAGAATAAAACTAAGTTTTTATACTAAGGCTAACATGTGCGAATTGTCATTTTTTGAATAATTAAGATATGCTGTGTTTTCCCTGGTTCGATGATTTTAATTAGAAATGTCTAATTGGTATTTATATGAAGGATTTTTGTTTATATTGATTGATGATTGATGCGCTTAATAAGATTATTATTTTGTATGAGATTTAATGTTACATTAGTTTTAGTATGGATCTCTTTAGTAAATAGAACAAAGTTAGGTTATGTTGTGAGTGAAACGTCCCCAATGAGTGTTTTAATTGATTATGATAAATGCGTCATTATTGTTCTGTAAATTCAAGCTACTTTTTTTAATAATAAGATTTAATGAACACTCCTTTTATTTCTCGTATTTCATCTATTAGTAAATGTAAAACACCCGCGGTGACGCGTGGGAATGGATCTAAATAATCAATATTGTCTTTAAAAATAACAAATTATTTATTGGTAATTAGTTACTTAGCAAAACAGTCACAATGTTACAGTGTTGACACTCTTAATTAATTATCTAAGATTGATGTATGTTGTAATGTAAATAAATAAGTAATTAACTAAATTTCGCTTTGTTTAATTCATAGCACCACGAGCTCTTTCTCCGCAGGGAATAAAATGAAACAACTCAGTAATATGAAATTCAATATTATTTCGTTATGCTTTTTAATAATACAATATATTTGCATACCATATACTATCGGTAGTATATTTAATATTGATGACCAATCATTAAACAATGAAAAAAGTTGATATTCATCAATTCTCGTTTAACATTCTTTTAATAAATAGCTGTATACAAAAACAATTATTTACAGGATAAGGCAGTACAATTACCACGTAAAATGTGCCTTGTCTTATTTTTAGCTATACAAGCAGTAAAAAAAATGGAAATTGCAATAACGTTAAACGAAGGGGTCACTTGAACGAATACGTAATAATAATAATCACCTTAATTATACTCCAGTCAAATTGAAATAATCACTAACGAGTTAAACATTTACAAATAAAGCGATATTAGTTTGTGAACATGTTAATTATATTATAAATCGAAGGGACATTTTACTAAATTCAAACGCACCTAACGCGAACAAACACATCCGACAGTTTGGCCGTTAAGTTTGAGACAATTTCAGTAATTTTGGAACGTATCGACCATCTCACTAATACATTATGGCAAACATCGCGTCTCGTACACTGAGTAACATAACCATACGTAATATCGAACTAAAACGCAGCTCTATATAAACAAAACGCGCGTCGAGCGACGCCCGGCGCGGCCTAACAACACAACGGCGACACTAGAAACATTCAAACTAATCAAACTTGCGGCAAACCATATACAATATATGTTTAAACCGGACTCGAACGCACTACCTCCTAGTCGCATCCGAATGTACATATTATGTCACATACACCGATGCGTCAACTCACACAAGCGGACGACACGATTAAAAGTAACACAGCTCTCCAAGTGAAATGCACTAACCGAGTTTTTATTTAAATACAACGATAATGGACACTGGCACTATGTTGCCCTACCGTAGCGTTTAACCAAAGATAAAAAGGCTTGACTCGACTGCCGGCGACTAGATAACGTGGGTTGTGGGTCGCTGCACGTCTCGCTGCTGCGCAGGCGGTAAACGATTTCATTTGCTTTACTTCTCCCAAAATCGAGAAGGCGAAGGAATTTATCATACAGCCACGTCCTCAGGAATCTTATTTGATTTTTCCATTAGAACGTGGCTGTTGCATATTCTTTTTTAGAGTATTTGGCACCAAATACATTAAAGGTAAATAGCGAGATAATAAAATAAAAAATCAGCGTGAAGCGCAACTTATACGAAATAAAGGATATATAGAAAATTTAAAATAGTATTTAAAGTATTGATTGATTGTTTTTGCGTGCGTGCAGCGAGATGCGAGCGTGTTGGAGCGTCCGCCTCTTGGGGACGCTCTATATGACGAGGGCCATGTCCTTCTTGCTGGGCAGCTGCACCTTCTTGCCCTGCCACAGCGAGTTGTGTATCGTGAACGCGTCTATAGTCACAGTCAAGTGCTTCGTGTGCACTTGGGAGAAACACTTGCTGCCCGAGTTGTACCTGGAACAAAAAAAAAACAACATGTCAACACTCGAAATGTCAATTTTATATAAATAACTGAAGGCGTTTTAAAATTGCTTTTACATAATGCTCGGACGAAAGCTTCGCTGTTCTTGAAGTACCGATATCGATTTCCGGTCAGTCGTGCGACAAGGTATTTTCATTATCTCTCATTTATAAAATAAAAGTTTTTTAGCTCAGAACATTGTCCGTGATATCGTGAAGCATATAATGAAATCAATTGATCAAATAGCCAACTTTTTAGCTGATCAACATCTGCTGAATAAAATACTCTAAAACTAGAATTCTGATTTATACTTTCAAACGTAATATCAAGGTCAAGGTGTTCATAGGATATTGTAGACTTCTTGCTGCAAATTGGTATATCAAGAAGAACTGTGGCCTAATTCAAAGTGATTTGTGAAAGTTTTTTTTTAGACAATTAGGCCACTGGTTAGACTGCGACATCTAATCTATCAACTCAAATCCATAGCAGGAAATCTCTGAGGTCCGGAGTTCGATCCCGGTAGGGTGTGTAATAAATAATGTAGAAAATGTTTTTTTTCTATATTGTCTAAGGTCTGGGTATTATGGTACCTTCGTTGTCTCAGATACTCAACATTTATTACTCCAGGCTTTAGCTACTCATCTTGGAATCTGAGCCAATGTATGTGATTTTTGTTTATTTCTCTCGCTCGATTTCTAAAGGAAAAAAACGACCTAGACATAAATGTTACTAACTTGAAGAACTTGTCGAACATCCTGTCGTTGACGTTCTTGGGCCCGGTGCCGTACAACTTGGCCACCTGGTCCGAGTCGGGACAGTAGGAGTAGAGCGCGCGGAACTGGCAGCCCGCGTCGCGGAACAGCACCAGGAAGTGCTTGCTCTCGCTGCGCGCGATCTCCTCGAGCACGCGCCGCTTGGCGTCCGCGTTCACGGCGCCCGGGAACACGCAGTACTCCACCGCGTTCAGCATTATGCCGCGGTTCGATTTCGTCGTCGGCTGCTTGTACAGGCGGGGCCCTACGAGTGTGTACACGCCGTTAACGAACTGTTTCTCTCGTAATGTTACTTGTGTGTTTAGACAGTTATATACTCCATCATAAAATAACGAAACATTTTTTTATTTCGTTTTATTTGATCCCTCTGATAAGTTTTCAATAACAAGAAGCAAAGAGTAATTCATATTTTTACAGCGTAAAAATTAAAGCATACGAACGGATCCATATCAGAGGTACTTCTTTGTACTTCAACAATCATAAACTATTACAATTACAATGCTTGCTACGATTAATGAACAAAATATCTTAGTGTAATATTGTATAAGTGATATTAATGTATAACTTAAAAACTGTTGATTGATTCGGTGGATGCACTGCAATGTGAAAAAATACGCATTCGTTTTCTGTAGATATAATGATGATGAGTGAATTAAAATTAGTTGGGTGTAATTCGCTGTGTTATTCAAAACGGTGATAAAGCTAATGTCAGTAAAGCAGCATCATAATGCGATATTTTTTTAAGTTAGAAATAAGATGCTCTCAAATAACATAAAAACCATGCCTTATAATACAAATAATGAATTCAAACGGAATCATTATACGAATGTTGTCGAGTTTCTATATCGCGTTGTGTTGGCATGACATCGCGAATATACCTAAATAACTGGTGAATAGTGTTCAATTTGCTTTGTGTGCGAACTATCTACTGTAGTATAACTGAATAACCTTTGCGGCGACCTTGGCAGTCAGCTAAGAATATGACAAATATATTTTATATTAAATATCGTTAAGTAATATTTTTCTTGCACAATTTCAATAATATTCACGTAATTTTTTGTGTATCGCTCAACATAACCGTATAATTTATCGTTTATTATAAACATAATCAATTTCATTTTCAAGCAGGACGTGTGTGTATATGTTATCAACATAATCAACTTTATTCATTAAAACTCAACTTACACTCAAATAAATAAAATTGTAAATTGAATAATAATTATCAAATAGTATTTGTAATGATATCAGTTTACAGATAAGTGTCAAAGTTCTTTAGCACGCGTCGCATGACGAACTCGAGAACGTTCTGTCTACACCGAAAACTCATTTTTTGTCGGGTGCGACCATACGATATTTATACTTTGTAAATAGAGTCGCAGCTCGAGTATGTCACGCTACGCGTGCGGGTGATTAAAACAGCCGCTAAATTAAAGATTAATAAAGTCTATTGTAGAAATAAGATATTTCAGAAGAATCCGATCGACGCGTCATCGTGTATACAGGGTTATTTGAAAAATGAAGACCAACGACCTCGTAGCACTAGATAAAGTTAACAACATAAATCATGTTTGATCTGCCAGTTTAAACATGATAAAAATTAATTGTAAGTGTTTATTTTAATATAAATAAGCAAAAAAATGTATACTTTTATTTGGACGAAACTTAAACATAACTAACTCGTCCATCAGACGGCGTTTTGTTCATCTCATTAGCTATGTAGTTCTGCGAGTTAGCTGGTGTTTTCCAAATAATCCGATACTTATGACGCGGGAAAGGTGAATATATATATATTTCATTTTTAATCGAAAAGCGTACACCAGATGCTGTATAATATTTCTGAAAGTCATAAACTTGGGATTAGATAGTACGCATAGTTTAGGACAGATAATAGTGTATATAATGTGCGACTGACCGGAGTAGTCCATGATGGAGGAGTGCGTGGAGGAGACGTCGGAGCAGTCGTCGTGGTGCACGCGGCGCTTGCCGATGGCGCCGGGCAGCGACCCCGGCCCCGACAGGGGGGACGCCGCCCCCGCGTGGCGCCCGCCCGCCGCCCCCGCCCCCACGCCGGGGGACGCCGCCCGCCGCGGCGGAGTCGCGCGACCCAGTCCCGAGTCTGCACAACCCCCACCACTACGTTACACGGCAGCCCCACCTATCTACTTCGACTTGCCTTACGTTCGACACTCTTTTCGATATACCGACAATGTAGTGCCCGAAATTACATTTAAAAATCACTGAGATTTGTCAAAATTTCTAAAAGGATCCCATATTTTTTCATAAAAATATATTTATTTCATTGATTGGTATCAGTATTGTTCAAAATTATGTGATTGAATCAATTAAATCTCGACATGAGAAGAACTGAAAAACATAACTGTTCAAAATCTGCCCCCCTCTACCTAGTCTAGCCATGATTCTGTTACTGTTACATACATTTAAAATAAAAAAATGATTTAAATTTCGAACATTAACTTCTACGATAAATAAATTTACTTTTTTCCTGCCATTATTGATTTTTTTTTGTTTATAAATTATTTGTTTTGAAAATGGAGTGGGGCACTAAAGAGAATAGGATTGCAGTAATTGCACTGTACAAAGTAGGTAAGGAACCAGCTGATATTTTTGATACATTGAAAAAGCTAAGGATTAGCCGAATGTTTGTGTATAGTACCATCTAAAGGTACACTGTAACCAGGTCAAACAGCTGTTACTTCGATACAAGGACGAAAAACAGAAAAATTCTCTTTACCGATGAAAAATTTTTTACAATCGAGGAGCACTACAACAAACAAAATGATAAGGCCAAAGTACAGAGAGGCCATCATCCAGCATACGTCATGGTTTGGTGAGGTGTCTCCTACCAAGGGGTTACAAAAGTTTGCTTTTGCGATAAAGGAGTGTATCAACATACTGTATTAGAAGCAGTAGTTCAACCTCTCAACAACACTTTATTTGATAACGAAGTGTGTACATTCCAACAGGATTCAGCCCCGGGTCGTAAGGTGCGCCCTACCCAAATTTAGCTTGAGCAAATGTTCCAGACTTCATAATGGCTGATGATTGGCCTTCGGCTAATTCGGATTAAACCTTTTGGAACTTGTGGTCTGTGCTAAAAGCCTGCTCTAAGCGTCACCCAAATATTGAGTCGCTCAAAAAATCTTTGGAGGCACCAGTAACCAAGTTTCCAATGGAAACCGTTCGTAAATCCATTCACGAATGGTCAGACCGTTTAAAAGCCTGCGTTAAAGCTAAAGGTGGACACTTTCATTAACAAGTTTAGTAGGTTAACATATCTTTTTCACTCTACATAATCACATATAAAACTTTAAAATAAAATATTTTTTTTTACAAATTATCGGATACTTTGTTTGTAACAGAACTTATGGCTAAACTAGGTAGAATAAACGATACACTCAGCTAACATACCTCATTACATCACAAATAAGCTTTAAAAACATTTAAATTCAAATTCATAACGACACATGGACGACTGAGATATTATAATACTAAATATATCTAACTACCCTCGTCCTATATCGAATACATTATAAATGATTTCACATGTTAACATTGTACCCGTTAGTGACTTAGTAAAAATTAGTTTTTTAATTGACTAGCATAAAATTAAAAATTAGTATAGAGAATTTATATAAATTAAAATATTTCATTAAACCTATAAGATAATTAATATTGAAAGCGTAAAATACTAAACGTGTTTAATAAATAATCTACTACTAAGCTAAACCTAAAATACTGCAACAAAAAAATTAAGAAGCCCTAAATAATAATAAAAGCACATTTCGTATCTTACGCATAAACATAGAGTTCTATTTTTAATTATTACATATTGTGTTCATCTGATATTAAAATTTTAGACATAACAATATTATGATATAAATACGAAGCATCTTTATACTTTTGATATTTTTACTTTGCGAAAATAAAAAACTATAATCGTATTGATTTAACATTTAAAAAGCATAAAGATATTCAAGGTAATGTCAAGACGATGTCACACCAACACCATATATATTTATTTAACCATGCTCTAACACATACCCGCATCAATATAAATACTTGTGTAAAATAAAATAAACCACAACCTCCGGGTACAGACGACCCAAAAGAAATATATAATTTAAAGTGCACTGAAGTGTAAAGAACGATACCAACAGGATGGCAAGACTAGACGACCTTTATAACATCAAGAATAATTATTTTATTTAGAAAGTCGTCGCGCTTTTGTGTTGAATTGTTTTTTTTTTTTTAGAATTATAATATTTCGATGCGTAATAAACACAATGGTACGAATTTGCATCGTGCCACAATAACAAACTGTATTTACGAGCACAGTAATTAACATCGAAATTTATGAAACTAATATATAAATCTGCTCATGCAATCATTTGTATATTTTTCAAAAACAACAGCATGTGAACACGAATAGTGTATTACTCGAAATCGTATGCGCTAGGAGGCAGCACTGTACCGATGATTCCGTGCCGTGTATCGTGTAACGTGATTATTTTTAATTTAGTATCATTCTGATCGTCTTTAGTGCATAGTATTGTTATATTTTATTTGGTCAATTAGTAGTAAGTACGTCTCTAAATCAGCCATCTGTCGGTAAATCTAGAGCAACATAACAGTAACCAACGCACCATAAGCGACGTATAAACCTGCTACACCAACGTGAGTAAAGCTTTTATCGGGTGGTTTTACCAAAGTTCTCTTACCGCACAGGTTCATAAGAGAGCTAGACTTCCTGCCGGCCTTAAAGTTACTCTGGTAAGTGGAATATTTAGACCTTCCACGTGAAGCCTGAGGTTCCTCATTCACACGCTCTGAAATGTTTCCTATACATGTATGTCATCACGGCACTCACATGCATTGCGCGTCAAATGTACGATTACAATGGAGCAGTGGAACCGCGGCACAGCCGGGCATGCATCGGTCGCACAAGCACGCGACCACTCTCATGTCGTACGTTATAATACGATACACTGATGTTGTGGCAAACAAAATTAATGCTATAATAACGCGATAATATATATATATTTATCACATCACTGTCACTGGACGGTAGCTTTACAAAATATGTACAAAAGGAACCGACTTTAATAAATAGCGCGGAAGGTCTAGGGGGAAGGGCGATCGAAATTTGGAAAAAGCCTTTGAAGCCCTCACACTTCTCAGTTCCGATTGCAAACTACATAAACGGCCAAATATAATAATATGAAAGCATAAATTTTGCATGTTGGCAGTGTATCTACCTATGCGTTACTGAAATCATACACATATAGTAATACAATAAAACAAATCAAAATAATAAATAAAAATGTCGAAGCGGTCTACAAACCAAATATCAAAAAAGCATATTTTAAACAAGGTATCAGCTAACGACTGAATTGATTGTCGAATACTAAAGCGTTTCATAACGATCCATTGCACGGTTCAAAGAAACTGCAGTATTCATGTTTCATAATATATACTGACTTGGCCAAGGTTAACATCTTGGACGAGCAAGAAACGTTTAGTATTCGATCGCTATTGGGTTCTGTTCACATATAGACAGCTGAATGCAAGCATATCTTTTGATATAAACTAACCATATATGATGAATTTTGCAAGCATTTTCTAATCACTTGTACAACTATCGATATATGAATAATGTCAACAGTCAATTTACATTTCCTATTTACCTAAAAATATCACAAATTTTTAATGATATTTTTAAGTTTCTAACAGACAAACTAAACGACGAAAAATTGAATTCATATATATTTTTTTATTAGCTGATCCGTGTATAATTTAGCTTCATAGTTATAGTCTTTCAAATTAAGCTTCATGTGCCTTAATTTAATTACTTGTACCACATAAAATTCTCAAGATATATTGAGGATTGTTTTATAATAGTGGGGATAAGGGGTAAGAAGCAGAACACTGCTAAGCGAAACATTGTTAGTGGCACTGTGTAGGCGCATCCAAGGATTTGAGTAAATAGGTCGAATAGCTATATTATCCTTAAATGATGCAATATGTAATTTTAAAATGATTTAATTATAAAAAAGTTTAAGTTTTCATTCAATAATTAGCTATGCGACTTTAATAAATAAAAGACATGTGTGTACGGTTTATAGCAAAGTATCTAAAATCTATATTTTTACGTTCGACTTTGAAGTGAACGATTTCAAACTCTGGGTTTAAACATACTAGCCGTTCGCTTTGAGGTAGCCGTAGATGACGGTTGCTAAATGACGTCATAGATGCGTTAACTGATACGTCACCATAGAAATTGTGTTTTAACTCGGATTAAATTTCCATCTGTTAAAGAAGAGTTGGCGATACTTACATAAAGATTTATCAAACTTAACACACCGACTATTATAAAATAATATGAACAAAACAAAGCTATATAATATCAGCCGCCATGGATAGACATATACGAAGACGTTGCTAACAGTATTCAGACTGTCCGGACGTGCGGTGCGGTGAAGCGGGGAGGGCAACGGCCAACTCAAAGCGATCGGTCATTAATAATCAATGTGTAATATAAATAACGTTGAACACTTACAATCATGTCTAAATGGGATACCACAGAATAATAAACGTACTGTATTCTCTCATATATGGATCAAAGGGGCAAAGACAATCAAATAAATTGCGACGAAGAACAATCTAACAGTCATTTAAGTATTTCGTGGCAGCAGAATGACAGGAGAGATATGTATGCAACGATGGTAGGTGAAAGCTTAGGGTGGAGCTCGCACGAATCAAACTTGATATTTTTTTAATACCGAATTAAGTAAACGGATAAGGAATAAGATGAGATACGAATATTATCATTTATTCTTTGTGGTTTTCTTAGATTATAATGGAATATTCTGTTTCGTTTTAACACTTTTTCATTACATGCTATATTTTTCAGGTTATATTCGAAGTACAAATGACATGTTCTCATAAATATTGGAAATATTTTCATCGAATCCAATATACAGAAGAGTTGACGAGTTTCGGGTTCGAATTTGCAGATGTCTGATTCTTCTTCATTGTCATAGAGAGTGTATTTTGAACGTTCGTTCGTGTTGTGGTACTTTCTATAATGCTTTATGTGAAATGTATGAACGAGTTTGATTCGTGGGGGCTTCGCCACCTAAAGCTCTGTGTATTGTAGTGTGTGTGTGTATGTGTGTGGCGGTACCTCTGGAGGTCTTGCAGGAGCCGCGGCGCGCGAGGGGGCCGCTGCCCGCGCTGCCCGGGGACGCGCCCCCGCGCTCCTCCACCGGGGACTCCGCGGGGGTCACTGCGGGGGACCGTACTGTATACACCACGCACGCACCGGGGCGTGCAGTCTCGACGTTCATAGCTATTGTTAAGTAGCGATCGCAAACTATCGAAACTGCATGCCGTCGAGTACGTAGGTTACATCATAAACACCTGGTCGAACCGCCAAATCGACAAATGTATTGTCAACAGGCCGATCATCATCGGTCTGCTGCCGGGTGTTCTATCAGCCTGACGCATCGATCAGAATTTAACTTTGGCAGATCGATCGGTGTTACGATTAAAGCATGTGATCCGCTAGTCAATTAAACCACTTCTAATCATTCTTACGTTTTACATTCATTATTTTATGATTTTTGGCAAAAATAAAATTATTCAAAAGTATAAAAGTATTCAAACAAAGAAATATTTAAAACTCAAAACACTCTTCCGATCAGTTCAATAAATCATTGAAGTTATTATGATTTACGACCAATTTACCCCCAAATGAATGACGCTCTCTGATTGGTGTTTCATTTGATTTGAGACCCAAAATACAAATATTAGAAAATAAAATTAGCAAAAAACAAATCGAAGAATAATCTTTAAACTTTATGAACTTTTGGCGGCACACAATTTTTTTTGTCTACTTGCTGTCTGATCCCTCATTACAAAAGTCAGTTTAACAATTTTAAAACTATAACAATAAAAATAATCTAAAAAGCCTTCATTCAATTTTCGAGATGTCATCACATTTACAAAGACCTTTAATCTTTAAGACTGTTTATTCATAGACATATGGTCAGTTGCACAAACTTCATTTTAGATTTAATGACTTTAAGCTCTAATGAAAGTTCTAAATTTTAAAATATGTGTGGTTAATGTGAGATTAAACTAATGTAAATTTTAATGGACGTTTGTGTATTTGATTGACATATAAAATTTTGTTAAATACAAAATTTTTGCTAGGTGACTTAAATGGTTCAATATTTTTATTTTATTAATATTGTATAAGTTTGTAATTTGTTATCTCGTACATACAATACAGCACGTCAAGTTTATACACAGCTGTAAAATTTCTTTACTTGACTTTAATATGATAAGAGATCAAAATCTATTACGTAATTTTCACATATGGTAACCTGACGAACTACTATGTGTATGTACAACATGTGTTAATATCTATTTATATTTTTATAGCTAGATTGTTTTGTATTTTGTTATAATCCCAAAATTATTCCCAAAATTGTTGATAAAATAAAAAAGTTCAATACGAAAATTGCACGTTTTTATTTTATCAACAATTTTGGGAATAATTTTAACAAAATACAAAACAATCTAGCATCACTATAAAATAGTTTAGATATCTGAGACAGCGGTCGCTGCCACTCACCTCTTTGTACTAATCAGATACTTTTTTATATAGCCAATTTTAAGTGAGAAAAGCGGTGAAAATACAATTAATCGATATAAAAATGAGTACATAAATAGATAAGATATAGACGTCATAGACAATGTATCTATGCATTACTACATTACATACTTCAGGTACTAACCTGAAACACACAAATGTTTGGCAACAAAATGATATCATGCTAAAAGCGGCGGATCTACATATAAAGATAATTTAATTATTAATTAGTCGTAGTTTTTGATATTAACAATTTCACCTGACAGGTCCTTTTTAAAAATTATTTTCGGTTATACTTCTTTCATTTATATATTCTCTATTAAATGTACAACATTTAAAAACAATTCGAGTCATCGTCCCTATCATTAATAGTAAATATTGGAGCAGACCGGACCTTTCAATGTTGACAATGACATAAAATATTCATTCACTCACTCGGCGCGGGTAAGGCAAGCAAGATTTAAAACATACATATATCCTTCAAATACATATTAGTTATGTTTAACGTACAATGAATCACGGGCGTCGCCAGCCGAATGAGCTAAATATCATGAGCAAAGCTTTTTACTTGAGTAATAAAAATAATTTGGGGGATCGAATCTACACCAGTCACCTTCTCTCGTTTTAACAATAGCATAGAGCCGAGCGTAGTTGACTGTACGAATAGAATTGGTTTGTTCATTCGAGTTTCGACGTACGGAAATAAACGATCAAGCAAGTGAAGTCAAAGACTTAGAACTTCGGTTGCTTTACATTAGGCAGCTCCTCGGCGAGGCCCTTGCAGTGAGTGTGATGTGTAGTGTAGTGTAGTGTAGTGTACTCACTCCTGTAGGCGAGGCTGTCCTGCGAGCCGCGGTAGTAGTCCCGCCGCATGGTGCCCGCCACGCCGGCCGCCGCGCGCGCCGCGTTCGCTGTACCGGGGCCGAGTGTGAGCACACGCGCGTGCGACAGCTTGCCGGCGGTACGAATATCGACTGGTGGATTCGTTTGTATGTAACCGACCGATTTTCATTGATGCACGCTCTTATTTTGTGACGTAATAATATTGCAACGAATATAGTAATATATTCCTTCGTATTGTACGAACGTATAAAAACAGTATGTAAACTGTACATAATTATAAACGCGATCTATTATACCAAAAGAATATCTAATTGTGATAATACGTATTCTCATCGATTATCAAATAATTTTCAATGCCATATCTATCAATTAGCTTGATTCAAAATTATATATCCCGTGTCCTGTTATAGACAGTTCTCAAGATATGCAAGCGTATCAGGCTTAACCCAATAAAAACTATAACTTTAATTCGCTCTCCTAATGAAGAATATAAAGAATTAGTTCAGATCTATTAACGGTCATGACCAAATGAATCCACCTGGTGCTAAACATTTATGCGGAGCGATATTTACTCGTGAGCCATCAAGCTAACACATGCGAGGAATTATGTAATAATATCATGCCGAACACAATGTAACAACATGATAAAAACTCAAAATAAAACAAAGTATGCTTCAGCGTTAAACCAAATCTTACAAGGTTTCTCATTCAATAGATTAATTTGACAAATCGAAGAACATAAATATTGATACTTTATGGCTAGTGGGCTAGAATATCGATGAAACAAATTTAAACAATTCCGATTAAAATACTTTTTGCTTAATGTATTTATGTTAGAAATTAACTTAAATTCGATTAATTTGTGTCAATATTTTTTGATTAATATTTTCTAATAACATTATCGTATCTGTCAAATTAAGTCTTTTGCATTAAAAACTGAACTGTAGTTGACTTCAGCATACGTTATTTATACAACATATTATAAATAAAAAGGTACATGCGATCGGGGATAAAACAGCATACAGTCATTGACATAAATTGGGGACTAGCGAACATCGAGTGCGATAATCACGAACACGGGTTGAACTAAAAACCATTAAAGAATCAATAAAACGTGTATCGTCTTGTATGAATCAGGTCTTTAGACGAATGTGTAAATTGATGTATGTTCGTTTCCTAGTTATATATCTGGTTGTCCTGTGAAACTATAGATTAATGTTTTATTTTTATTTCGGCTCGATATATTGTTTCCGATTTGTGGAACAGAATCGCTTGTATGCAATCGCTTGTCCTTCAATCTGTAAAAGGATCGTATGTGGACTGTGGATACGTGATATTTGAAATGATCGAACAGTCACTCGTTCGATCTGGTATCTCGATAATATCTTTGGCGAGCTTATAAATTAAAGATTTATAATAAAGTTGGAATGGGTAGTCAAAGATGATGTTAGGAAATGACACGCAGCAGGAAAGAGAGGAGTAATTTGAAGAGTCACACTACAATCACCCAAACTACACTCGTCCAGAGTGTAGTTTGGGGTGAACGGTATAGGATGGATGGATGATATGGGACGGGCTGGAGCACGGCAGGACGGGTGGAGCGGGTGTGCGGGGGCGGGGGCGGGGGCGGGGGTCGGGGGCGGCGACTGTACCGGTGAGGTCTGTGGCGGAGGGCTGGCGCGCGAGCGCGGCGTGGTGGAGCGCGGTGGAGTCCACGTGGATGGTCTTGGGCCGGGCGCGGGGCGGGGGGCGGGCGCCCCGCAGCCGGGTGCCCGCGCCCGCGGGGCTCGCGGGGCCGCCGCCGCCGCCGCGGAGGGACTCGGCGAACTCGCTCTTGTCGAGCACCTTCCCCTGGGAATGGAGAGCGCGCGTTCAGTCGACAAGTTTCGTACGTATAGATACCCCGGTCGGGTGCGTGCGGCGGTCACCTCCCGCTCGGCCTCCTCGACGGCCTTCTTGAGCTTGTACTGGTGCAGGATCTGGTCGCGGCGGCGCTGCTGCTCGAGGCGGCGCTGCGCGCGCAGCTCGGCGGCGGCCTCGTCCCGCGCGCGCCTCGCCCCCGCCGCGGCCTCGGCCCGCGCGCGCGCCTCCTCCGCGCGCTGCCGCCGCTGCAGCGACAGCAGCATTATGCGCTCCTTCTTGCGCTCCATCTCCTCCGCCGAGCTCTGGAAACGTATACCCTTTCGCTATCACCTCGTATCACCTTGTCTACTTTAACGAAACTTCTCGGACGATATAAATTATATCAGTTTTAAAAATTAGGTTTCACATCGACTTTTTTATTCCCCCAAAAAATTAAATTTGTTAAGTTAATATACACAATAGTATTTTGAACCGTTCCTTTTTCATTTGACTGGCTCGATTACTAACTCGAGGGTTATCTCGAGATAGATTTATACAAGGCCGATACTGGCCTGGCTTCTCAATTCGTCTCGGTCCCCGCACTCGTGTAAAATCCATAAACGATGACAATTCGGACTGACGGTCAGTTGCATATACGTCCATTAAGGTTTAATGATGCCTTTAAGCTCTGATGAATGTTAAATTTCTATGGGCCACTGGCTGAAAGAGTGCCAAAACATCTAACGATCTTGCTACAAAGTAAATAAGGCAAAAACAGCCTCATCTACTTAATAACAAATAGGGCTGCTGTTTATGACTAATCTGTCAGATGCATTTGTTTCCTCTAAAGCACTGACGTAACACAGCGGCCAGTCGTACTTGCACACAGTACATACCGGGTCAGGGTCGAGGTCCCCGATGACAAGGGCGGCGGGCGCGGGCTCGGGCGCGCGCGCTGCGTCTCGCGGCCGCGTTTCTGGCACCTGCGAAACGTCGCGAGACACCGCCGACCTACTCGACCAACATACAGACAGACAAACGGCACTTTACTACTTTGTAATAGTTATTACCTATTACTAGTTTTTTCTTTTTACTTTCCTGATGATTTCATTTTTAATTATATCAAGTAATCTCTAAAATTTATTATAAATTATTTTTAATTAAAAAAGCAAAATTTTCTTTTATTTCAGTATGTTTTCTGTTTTAGATTTTATTTATAATTTATTTATAATAAAAAAATATATATATATATGTAAAAATATTTAATCTAGCTTATTTCACGCATGCATTTATTAACGATTAAAAGAAAACTCAAATGGACGGTAGATAAACCAGATGTTCGACGATTCAAAACAAATTCCAACAAATTGATTTGTATCATGAACATTTTCACTTTCAATTGTGCAATGCCCTATAACATACCTGCGCTCTTCCATTTCGCTCCACGCGTCGTCCGGACTCCGTTCGGGGCTCTGCGAGTCTGACTTCTCCTTCTTGGGGGAGCCTCGTTTCGCCCTGAGGGGGGGTTTCGGCCTCTTCGGTTGCTCGTTGTCGAAGGAGATGTAGAATCCTTTCTCGTTGTTGTCGGCGGACTCGTCGGGTTGCTGGAACGAGTTCCGGCCGAGGGAGGGCCGCGTCGGTGACGGGATACGGTATGTGCGCGTACCAGACGATATATTCAACCTGTTGATGCCCTGCGAAGACCAACGAATCACCATCAGAAATACCGAACAAGCAACCTGCGGCTCTCCACTTCTATTAGATGTTATGTCTACGAGTTCTCAAGTTACGAATGAATTAAAACTAAAAGGCATGCAAAACTATTGCTCTTAGTATGTTTTTCAAGCTGAGTTTTGTGATGGAATAATTTATATTTAAGTATGTAACAATAATTTAATAAATACCATATCTTAGCCGTTTGTTTTGAATAATAATATGGATGTAAACGTTAACGAAAATAAATACATTTTTTTCTGGTAGTGTTTAATATTATATAATATTACCGATAATCACACTTTTATGCTCATTATATTAATAATATTATGATATCCCGACCCTCTACTCGAATCAGGACTTAGTGAAATTAACCTGATGCATACATAGAACAATATTAGTTTTAGAGGCGTGACGTCATTAAGACGTCATGACAGAAAATGGCCTTATGTGGGGGGGGGGGGGGGGATTTTGAAAAATATATATTTTTAAATGTAACTTGTAATATGAAATTTTTTTTAGACATGTTTTATGTATATCATCATAAAAGAAAAATACAAAAGTTGTTTTCACACTTATTGAAATAAATTTACATAAACAATACATTTGTGAAACATTTTTAGTGGTTCATTAAATCTAGGAACATCTGTATAAGTTTATAGCAGTATGCGCAGGGGTGTACCTGTCTGAGCGCGTCGTCGTCCGCGTTGCCGATGAAGGAGATGTTCTGGGGCTCCATGTCGTCGGGGGGCGGCGGCTCCGGCGCGCTGCTCTGCCGCTGCGGGCTGCGGGACCTGCTGCGGGGTACACGTACCGACTACTACTTCACTAGGGCTATCACTAAGGCTACTAGTTTCTTCAAAACAAATTTTCTTCCAATTTCAAATCATTATAAATGTTATTTTATTGAGCGATAGAAAATTCTTTAAATAATTTGAACATTTTGGTAAGATTTCTTTTTGGACAAATCTATTCATAATGCCATGTTGATATTGTCTTATAGAAAAATAATTAAAATGTGCTACGGCTATCTCAATTAATGTACTCGAGATTTCTTCTATCGTTCTAGGATAACGTATTTTATAAATGTATTTTTCTATAAATTAATATTTTTCTTTGATGAGAATTTCCTGTAGCCAGTATCGTCATGTTACCGAATGTTTGAAATTTACAGACTAATGAATTGTTTACATACCGTCTCATAGGTGTGGCGGCGGGCGACGTGGAGTGTTGGTCGTCATAGTGTCTAGTGTCGGGGGTTATCACAGTATAGCTGAGGTGGTTCTGTTCCCGCCCGCCCTCGGTGCCGTTCTGGTACCGCTCGCTGTTATAATGCACCTATAAAGGCACACAAACTTTATTGTCTATTCGAGTTAACTGATATAGCACCTTTTTCACATTTCCATAAATATCATAAAGTATTAAAAATTATATTATTAATACGGACAGTAAACTAAAATAAATATATACAATTAGTACTACATACCATTACTGATAATCACACTTTTGTGCTTATTATACTTATAATATTTCGTAACTTAATTATGAAAAAAACAAGAACATGACGTCATGCTCCTCGACTTATTATCAGAACTTACGAGAATTAAACCTTATGCATACATAGAAGGATATTAGTTTTAGAGGGACGTGACGTCTTAGCGACGCCATGACAGAAAATGGCGTATTCGCGGGAAGACATAAAAATGTAATGAATTTTTAGATTTTACTTTTTATATAAATTAGATATATATATATGATGCGAACAGCCGAGGATCGAACTAGATGGCGTGCAATTGGGGAGGCCCATGTCCAGCAGTGGACGAATACGGGCTGATGATGATGATGATATTATTTATATATATATATGAAATATCTATAAAATAAAAATATTTATAAAAATCATCTAAACCCCTATTCTTAAGAACCAATTTTACATCAAACAAAATCTCTTGAGAAGTGTTTAAGAGACAAAAAGGAACCAAGCACAAAATGATGTTTTATCCAGGAGCAGTGTACCTGGAAGGGCTGGGCGTGTGTGGGCCGGTCGTGCAGCATGAACCCCTGCGGGTTCCACGACTCGGGCGGCGGGCTGCGGCTGCGGCTGCGGCGACGGAGACTTCCACGTGCGGTGCGCCGCCTCCGCCGCCGCGTACTGATTGTGCTGCTGCTGTTGAAGCTGATGCTGCTGCTGTTGCTGCTGCTGCTGCTGCTGCATCAATACATTTTCAAAGCTTCCAGAGACTTTGATTCTGATGTATGACTTTAGGAAAACCGATACCAACAATGAAAAGATTGTATTGCGTATCTCCAGATCTCATCGCAGATCTGAATCATTTCTTTCGTGCTAAAAGTGTTGTGAAATTACAGACTTTTGTTATTTTATGAAATTGCATGCAGTGTTATAAACAATTTTGAACTTGTCTTTTTAATCGGTAGTAGTAATTTGAGATTCGCGGACGACATTGACTTACTGTCTACGATAGGACAATGTCAACGATATACTGTCAATGATTGGCGACTACAAAAGAAGTCCGAAAAGTTAGCCTGAAATCGAGAATATTAACGACTAAAATCATGACCAATATTCCAGAACACAATTACATCAATTGCCAGTCTACATTGATGACCACCACATTGATCTGGTACCCAAAACATTTGGACCCAAGATATCAAACTGTGATGGTAGAAAATCATATAACAAAGGCGGCATAATCCGTTATTGGAGCTAATAGACTTTTACAGACTTATACTTATATACAGACTTATAAAGGTTTCAAACGTTGTATCCTGTGACTGTTCACATGCGCAACGGAAATATTACAAATAACACTATCGATTGTCCAATGAACGTATAAGCCGTAATCATAATAACTGAGCAGAAATGGAAACAACTGGGACATGTCGACAGGGTGAATCGCGCTCGGCGAACGAGAAAAGTCACGAGGGAAGACCTAGGTTCAGCATGTGTAGTTGCTCCTGACATCAGGCAACACGGCGGAAGCAATTGGAAGTTTGTGGCAAGGAAAAGGCACAAGTGGAAGAATATAGAGATGGCCTATGTCCGAAAGCGGACAAAGTTAACAGGTTGCAATGAATGTATGCATCCGAAATATCTCTTCACAAAAAAAGAAACTGAACTGATTTATTAGGTTTTCCTTCGGCTAACAGCATATCATGGTTATGTGTCGTCGGTTTTAAGCTACGGCCTGATACTTTGGGGAGCCTCTGTAGATCTAAACAGAGTTTTTAAAATTCAAAAGAAGTGTGTTCGTGTTATGTGTAATGGTTGGTTCGATGATAGCTGTAAGCCACTTTTCAAAAAGCTTAATATTTTGCCTCTACCTTGTATAAATGATATCTGTGTATTTGTTCACTCTCATTTCAATTACTGGAGTAAACGTGTGGACATTATTCCGAGACAAACAAGACGAAAATATAGAAACCTGTTGTATCAGCCTCCTTGTCTTAAAAACATCTATAAAAATAATATTTACAATATGTGCATAATTTTATATAACAATTTGCCAGATGACATGAAACTGTTAAACATGAATCAATTTAAACTAAAACTGACAAAGTGGCTTCTAGAACACTGCTTTTATAGCGTTAAAGACTTTTTAGCTTTAAAAAAATCCATGACATAATGATAATATATAATAATAATTTGTAATTTTATGAGATGTTTGATATATAATATGATAATAAAAAATGTAATAAGTTAATAATATAATAACAATATTTGCACGCCTGTCCGCAGGCAGAATACTGTACTTGTCTGATTATTTGTGACCTCAATGACTTGTGTTCTGGCAAATAAAGATCTTATCTTATCTTATCTAGCTCACTTTCAGCAGAATACAGATCTATGGCGTCGCAATGTTTTTTAAAAATGATCAAATAACAAAAATATTATAACGGTAGAATTTATTTCAAATCAGGTGTGGAGGTTCATGCAGCTGTTTGCCAATTGCCAGATATAGATTACAAATAAAACAACAACACGGGAGTGTAGGGTAGTGTGGTGATCAATCACCTGCCAGCCTCGCTCGGCGTGTTGGTGCGCGTGCTGCGCCCACGTGCGGCGCGCGGGGGCGGGGGCGGAAGCGGGCGCGGGGGCGGGGGCAGGCGCGGGGGCGGGCGCGGGCGCGGGCGCGTGGTGCAGGTAGAAGGTGGCGGGCGGGTCGGGGTCGCGGTACAGGTGCGGCGTGGAGCCGAACCCGCCCGCGCCCAGCGCGCCGCGCGACACCTCGTGCTGGGAGCTGAACTGGCTGTGCTGCAAACGGACGAGCCGTGCGTTAGCCGTGCCCTCGCCATCGATGCTGCAGTGCAGTGCGGTGCGCGGCAAACTTATACAGACGACCCCTTTCGATACCGAACGGAGCGAGCGCGTTCGTCCCGCTTCGTTCGCGAAGCGGAAAGCGGCGAGTGACGCGGCTATTTGAGGCTCATGTATTAGAATCTTTATTTTTAATAAAAACCGCAAACATCAAAAAGTCGTTTGTGCGAATGAGACCATTTACGCAATGATCGCATTTCAACAGAATCCCAACTACTTTCATTTTGCCATTCTGCTACCTTCTTGAAGTCCAATAATATTATAGGTATATCTGTAAGACGTTGCACTAATAATATTGCACTTTAGGTAAATAGTACAACGGCAAAATGTAAGTCGTTGAGATTCTATTGAGATGCTATTATCACGTAAACATTATCACCTGGCATTGAGAGCGGCGTCGTGCGATTTCACGTGTGAAATTAAAAAGTGTCCGATTTTATTATTACATATCGAGCCTTTCCTTAACTGTGCAGTCGACTTGAATGAACCGACACGAACGACAAGAATAGACGAAAAACTGGAATCGTAATTATTACAATCGTTACCTCTGCTACCGAATTACAATTTCAGGTTACAAGAACGTGTGCCGTGTATTATTGTAATTTGACAAATATATTTTGTTTGAAAATCATAATCGGTCTATCTATTCTTAGAGATACATTTATCACAAAGAGACGTTCGTTTCCTACTATATGTTGCCGAATGTTACATTGAATGCGTGCTGGATTTTAAGCGCGAGCATTAACTTTAAATGCATAATGATAGTGTCAGAAAACAACCATTGACTGACAAATTCATGTCTCAGCAATTTAGAAATTTTATACAGAATTATGACTGAGGTGATACCCATAATCACAAATTTCAATAGAAGTAATATTCTTTTAATTGAATGCCAGTGAAACAAAAAAGCCCTTGCGCTTGCGAAAGCCAAGTTAGCAGTTGACTTACCAATTGTGGAATGTTGGGTTGATACTGGTGTTGATACGGCGACTGCGGTGGCGCCTGCTGCTGAAACAGCTGCTTGGCCTGCTGCTGCTGCATCTGCTGCTGTTGCATCTGTTGCTGCAGTTGCTGCTGCAGCTGGTGCTGTTGTTGCTGCAGCGCGTGCTGCTGTTGCAGCTGCTGCTGCTGGAGTTGCTGCTGCTGCAGCTGCGTCTGCTGGCTGGCCAGCCGCGCGATGTCGCTCTGGATATCCTGCAGGCTGGAGTTCATTCTGTAAGTTATGTACGACTCACTGTTTCTAGTTGAGTGCACGTCTCGTGCTTTGATCTGAGAACTTATATTAACGTATGTATTAAAGTGGACATGCCGGTGGCATTTAATAAATATATCGTAACAAAAATTAGGTTCATCTGGAACCCTCCTGCTTGGGTCAAAATAAAATAACTTTGTCAATATTGCCAGCCATATTGCATAGCATGTATGCCTTACTTTAATTAGAATAAAATACCAGGAAGCCTACTCTAATTCACCGAAAAACGAAATATCGTTCGAAATTTCGGACGTTTCCTACCACAATTACATTCGTTCCGAATATTCAACGAACGAAAATGTTTGACATATTTATTTTCTAAACCTACTCTTTTTCACGAAATGACAAAACGAACATTTGACTTTGACATCTAATTGTTCGGAATTCTTACCTCAAATTGACGAAGTAAAAAATGTTACATTTTCATTTTCGTTAGCAATTATTTTATTTTCGAAATGGGGTCTATATTACTATTAATCGAGTCAGCTCTCAGTAAAGAACGATTAGACCGTAGAAGAAATCGGCAGCGGCTTCGAAATAGCCTTAATATAAGAAATATTCTCGATACTGAGTTTGTAAGTATTTACAGACTCAGTTGTGAATTATTTCAAGAACTATGCCAAGAGATTATACCTTTACTGCGTCCACAGGCAAGATCTCATGCCATCGAGTCCACAATTAAACTTGGAAGATATTTTATCGTAGTTCTTGATAAAAAAATTGCATGCCTACCATTATGCATTTCATATTTTTATGATTCTTACAGCGTTGAATTTTTATGCCCGAGGTAGTTTCCAAGGATACGAATGTGATACTGAGATACGAATCTCAAAACATGGATGGGCCTATGGCCCAACAAACAGTTTCACGGTGTTAGGAGGTTAGGACTGTCCTCAATTCACCAGATAGGTATTATAAGAAAATATAGTATTCCCTCAAAACCAAAATGAAAGCAATCTTATTAAGAGACAGTGAGTACCTAATAGTTTATTGTTTATTTTGGCTTTATGTATGAATTGTGAATAATTACCTATAGAATTATGTCATTAATAAAACAGATTTTACGAGGCATATAGGCTATGCCATTATACCTGAAAAATATGACTGATAAAAAGTAAATTTATTACTAAAAACCTTTTTTTGTGCCGAAAAACTAAATATTACTTTCATACTTACTTATAAAGTTTTTTAATGAATTGTCAAGATAAATTTCGGAACTCACAATAATTAAATAAAATATTAGTAAACACTGAACAGTTTGGTGAAAACTTGTAAAACTTTTGGCGGGATGAGAATCGTTTGTATTATACGGATATTTAAGATTGCCATACGTTGATTATAGCCATCGTATAAATGAAAGGTTGTTTTTAAATATGTCGGTTAATACTGTGGATAAAAGAGTTCTTTATAGTGTCTTGATAAGTTGTAACGAAAAATAAAATTCATTAATATACTAAGTTTTTCGTTATATTATTATAATATTTTATGTTTAAACAATGTTTAGCCACTAAAATTTTATTTAAAAGAAATATATGTATTGTTTAATATTATATATTTCAAGTTACGGTAAAAACCGGAATTTGACATTATAAGAAATCCAATAACGCCATTCACTCCAATCGATCACGAAAATTGTCTTTGGAAACGAACATTCGTTGGTGTATACGAAAATGATAAAGAGTAGCGTTCCATGCGAAATTTCGTTTTAATTTCGTTCGTAAACGAAATTTCGTTTTCGAGAAAGCGAGTAGGCCTCCTGTACTTGAGCTTGAGCGCTAGTTATGATAAGATGAGGAAGAAGATAGATAGTTATAATGTTTTCTATTTAGATTATTCAATAGCATTCCAAAATGTTTTTTTTTTTTTCAATAATAAGAATGTCATTCCACTTACTTTGCGATCGACTGTTGATACTGTTCCAACGCGACTGTGTCCACCGTCTGGTTAGGTGCCTCCGACATATCCTAAAGAAAACAATACAGAAGTGAAACCCATTATCAACGGACCAGAATTTACAACTTAAATATGCTGTTCGGTTAGGAATGCAAACAACTAAATATTATAGAGCTGTTCAAAAGCGTTTAAATGGTCTAGTTACAAATGAAATACAAGAAGCATATCTTTTTCTAATCGACATAGACAAGTAAAGGTAAGCAGCTAATAGTAAAAACGCCAACTTTTCTAGATAAGCTTAAAGTACCTATCAAGAAATAAAAACAGCACAGACAATTCGAGTTAGTCTTCGCAAAGGTTGGATTTTGTCGATTTATTCGCAATCTCACTCACACACGCACACACACACTACAACTTCAACTCATATAAAGCTTGTTCCTTCTACACTAATGTCGGTAGAACATTTGAATGAATGTAATGGTACTCTTACTAGTAATAAAGCATAGCCCGGTCGCTTAACAGAGAAAATTTCGTATAATGGTCATTGTCACTATATATCTCTGTCATTCATATTTACTGCTATTGCACTCGCACGGATGCATCTAGCAAATCTTGTCATATAAAAGGGAAAATAAAATTATTACGATATATACTATTAGTATGCACAAATGTCAACGAAAAAATATTACATAACGAGCCAATGCTCACACATGACTTATCAGTGAGGTTTTAAACATAAATATTGGTTTGGATCCCATCACCAAAACGAATTCCGTCGACAATCCTCATGCAAACATACATATTCATTACATGCAATAAGTTAATCTCTACTGTCACATCACAATCGATAAATTAATTTTTTTTTTAAGTAAATTTCATTTATATGATTTTTTTGAAATTATGTGTTTGACGTTTCGTTGTCGTTATAGTTCTAATTTAAATAGATAATTTAAGTAAATTAAATGACTTCTGTTGGTACAAGAATCCTTTTTCATGGGTAATTATGTGAGCCAATCGAAATCTCGTAAAATACCATATTTAAATAGCATAGGCAAAATTCGCTTATGCAGAAGACAGCAAGCCAACGTCAATGGAATGACTATGTTTATCAACATTTTTGAAAAATAGTCTTTAATACATTAAGGTTCATACTCGTAATACAATTTAAGACTATCATGATGTAATATACGATGCCAGGCTCGCATCAATAAATAGCAAATGAACACAAGTAGCACGAAAATGAGAAACTTGGATAACAAATTTAGCTCCTTTCTAAAAAGGGTAGTACCTTTTTGGATTGGTATAACTTAGAAACTTGCTTTCACTGTACGGTTTTATTGTACACTCGGGCAAAAATATGGTCTACCACCCTACGATTAAGGTCCATTTGAACATCATGGAGCAACAAGATCGTTTTCCCCCTTGTAATAATGTTATGAAAAACGGATCACATACTAATGAAACTAATAATAATAATGACATTCAAATGTCAAGACATCTCAGATATAATTGCGCATTTTAAACTCCGTCTTAAAGTTAACCCGAGTGATAATTAATTAATCTTACAATTTTTGATAAAAGTTGATCGGCGTACGTTTTACTATGGTACTGTCTACCGTGATCATTATGGTAGTGAACGGTGTGGTGGCTCTATGTATATAACATTAAGTGTACCGGTACGCTCCAGAAGTTTTACTATATGCAAAAAGTAGTCTAGATGCAGCACCATAGAAAAAAGTCATAAATAGAAATCCTAAACAATTGAAAAGTGTTTATTATTTTTTGCGAATGTATACACAGCAGCACATTAGGTTATTAAAGAATATCAAATTTGCAACTTTAATTTCTAGGTATTAAAATTGTAATTAGTTTGTATGACCCGAATGTATGTGTTACGGTAAGTGTGCGTGTTGCGTATGGTTACCTGTGGCGGCTCCTGCCTGCTGTCGTCCGAGGGCGTGCGCGCGCCGCGGCCCTGCAACACACGCCCGCCACCGTCACTCGCGACACACGCACTACACACTACACACTACACTGTGCACCGTGCACTGTGCACTGTGCACTACACAATCCGCCTCGTACCTACCCTCCTACACCACGCTCGATCCCATCGAGGATTCTGTTTCACGGTGGACTATCGTCACCGAGCGTTCGAGACTCGAACTTGCAATTTTAACATTTATAATTATATATTTTTGTACTACATAGTGTGACAAAAATAATGGCTCCGAATTTGTCGCCCTTAAAAAGGTAATTAACTCCCGTAATCATAGATATTCGATCTTAGGCCGCTACGCCATCCATAAAGATTATTATCCATCCATATAGATTAGAAGGGTACAGATTATTCGCAACACGACGTGTAAGCTAACATGCGTTCTAAAATTTTCTATCTATTTTATTATGTTCGCGAGCGCGCTTCGAGTTCCCTTCGCGCACAGTGCGTGCGCGCTCTTTATTCCGATCGATTGTCGGTTTTTTCGACGAACACTTAATTTTGCGCGTAGTTTGATTTGGACGGTCATTCGCGACATATCTGCGTACCGCGACCTAGCATGAATATTTTTTTTCTTTTTTATTTAGTACAATCTATTCTTGCTCCAAAAACTGTCGGGAACAAACATTCGCTGTTAAAGCACGTAGCATGTACGAAGGTCGACCACGTTATACTTGTGTTGCAATTCGTTTTACGTTGCAAATAATCTGTACCCAGCCTTAAACATGCGACAAGATTCAACATAAATTATCTCTCGAAAATTGAATATTATAGATCTTTTGTTTTTGATGCATTTCAAATTTTTGTACTGAATTATTCTCCTAAAATAATGGCTCCAAATTTGTCGCCCTTAAAAATATCTCAAAAATTTTATCTATACAATAATCTACCACGAAACACAATCCATTGGACAATTTTAAACTCCTTGTAATTTCCATAACAAAAACATGCTCTTAATTAAATGTGATGTCTATTAGTGTATATAATATGTACCTACACGTACGTGCGGCGTTGTTAGGTATGGTTGGATAGATTCAAAATTATGAACTTTGCTACTAACGTGATATACTAAATTGTCTGGTGATGATATTATTCTGAATATGTAAATATTGCGAGATTTAAAATAAGAAATTCAAACTGTGATAATACTAGAAAAGTCTGTAATAGATTTAAAAAATATATCAAATTCAGTCATACACATAAAAACTTTTTTAATGTTTTAAAGCATGTTGTGATATTTAAGCAACGCAAATGTATTTGCCAATACTGCAAAATTTTACAAAATTTAATGAAAAAAAAATTGTCTTACTCTGATTGTACAAGCTATTAAGCGATATTACGCTTTTCTCAAAATACTCATAATTTTTACAATAAACATAATAATTCTGTCAATTTACTTTAACGCAAAGCTTTGATAAGCATGTAAGTACTGATCAAATGATGTAACTAACCATTATTTAATAATGTACTAGGTATATTCAAAATATGAAAAATGCTCAAATAAAACCATTAAAAGTGAAAAGGACTAAATTAAACCCAAAGGTGTGCGGGTTCAACCGGGCCACTCACCAAGGAGGCCAACTGGCCTTGCAAAAACGTATCCTAATGAAATAGAAAACACACATTTATTCACCACTGGTTAACAAGACATGGCATTAGTAAAATACGTTCACTAGTTTCACAAAACTTATATTGATAAAACATTCAACTTCATGCACAACCAAAATTGAAATTTAAATAGCTATTTCGCTTGTGTTATAGGTATTTCAATTTTGATATTACCGAGACATATAAAATAAATGATGAGCTTTATACAGACACGGTATTTTTAATTTAGTGCGTTTACAATGTACTCGTCGCGAGTTCTATTATAGTTTTATGAAACTAATACAAGAATAAGGTTATTGACAATTGTCTTGTGGGTGTAATGTAATCAGTAAATACAGAACCGATATACTATGACTTGCAAACATTATGCTTTTTTCAACATGTGTAAACAAATCAGTTAATAACTAGAAAAAAAACCATTCCCAATTAAGAAAAGTAATACCTATTTCAAAACTAATATTAATCCTTATAGCTCTAACACTTCTGTTATATCACAGTCTACATAAAACAATGTTTTTCTCAATCTTCACTCAGCCCTCGCCTCTTCTGCATACAAGGTGAATGTATAAACTGTGTACTATGAGTGTCGTGTGTAGGAGAGTGTCTCACCCGTGTGACGGCCTGCAGGAAGGCCTGCTGTCCGAGGTGTTGCCGCTGTCTATCGAGCGCTAGTTCCATCCGTCGCTTGTCGTGTTCTATTCGTCGTCGCTTCTCCTCGAGCTTGAGTCGTATGTTGTTAAGTTGCGCCGCCATGGCCCCGCCTCCGCCCCCCGCCCCTCCCGCACTCTCCGACGATACTTCGTCGCCATCTTAAATATACAACCACTCGATTTTAATCCACCCATTTATTAATATGCACTTTTCGTTTGATGTGCGATATCTATGTGTCAACAGCAACTTGAATTTAGGCGGCTATATGCGTATATAGATAATAGGGGATCAGACAACTTTCTCAAGTGTTTTAAATGAATCGTTATGGGCGCTTATTTCAATTAAAAAAAAAATTATGGCCCCAAACTGTTTAAAATTTTACTATTTAAAAAACCGTTTAAACGGCGATTCGGAGGACGTGACGACATTAGTGACGTAAATAAAAGGGATTTTCAGTAAAAAAAATGAATTATGATTTTCATTTGGATTATTATTATTTAAATTATTTGGCACTTTGAATGTTTCCAACGCTATTACTAGATAGTTTTATTACCAATTTACCCAGACATGACGCCACGAGCTCTGATTGGTGTTATTTTAAGTGTAACATAGACTACAAAAATGTTTCTTTCTTGTCCTTTTCCAAAATTATTCGACGTATTATCTTTAAATTTTATGAACTTTTTAACCTTTTAAAGACAATCAATTAATTTTTTATCTAATTGCTGTCCAATCCCCTATTAGACATACATTTGATATACAATGATGATATATCGAGATCGTATTCACCCAGCTTAATCTAGACTTTACTTTTATATAGGGATTGTTTAAAAGTTATATCATTGTAATTATACACACTATTTTCATAATACGCGTATATAGTCAATAGTGTAGTGTAGTTATTATAGAGTAGGAAAGACATGTGAAACGTATCACGGTTAGAGGGAGAACGCATTAGCAATTGGAAAAAAATTATAGGATATACTGACTGGGCTGATGGTCGTGCTGCATGAACTGCTGCTGCCACGTGGTCGTGTTGGCGGCGGGCGTCACGAACGATGTACTTTTCCGCCTCTCCTGATCACACTCAGACTGACCGAACACACCTGTCGTACATCATTACATATACATACATACATACATACTATATATTATCAAATGCAATAAATCTATTCAGACAATGGGAATATGTGGCCTATAACGCATCCAAACTGGAAAACATCGCGCACTAAGCTTCGCTGGTAAAGCGCATACACTAAAAGCGGATATCGAACATATTATTTGACGTGCTTAAAGACTCACATCAATAAATTAAAATGTGAAACAAAAGTATAATAAATAGAGAAAAAAAAGACACTGTGGATCTAGAAATTCGGTATGTGATGAATCGGTTTCTGCCATCTTTGTACTCGATTGCGATATCTACAACTGTGTCGTCTCTGAGGAGAAATATCAGCTGCCATAAGATTCATAATTCTCTTTGAATTGCGAGTTTCTTTTTTATAAAAAAAAATTGAACGAGAGACACTTACGCTCGTAGAGCTGTTTCTTAATATTTGCATTTTACACGCTCTCTTGTCCTTTTTTCCCAGAAAGGTTTCCAAAAAATTATTTATCGTTTTTTATTTGCAAATATCTTCGAGATGAGTCTCGAGGACCACATTGCGATTAAACGCAAGTCTGAATTAATTTGTAATATAATCTATTAACCGACTGGAAACGACAGCTACGATGTTTGCGGTTTTGCGTTTTCCTAAAGCGCATGCGTTTAAACGCAGTGCGGTATCAACATTATGGGTAATTCGCAGTTATAATCACGCTTCACTACACAGTTTTCAAAAATCGCAATCGCATTTACCGATATATACAGTTTCAGCGATCCACAATGCGGTCACAAACCTTGCCGTTCACCGTTCCTGATCTTATTGAGGTCCGCGATGCCGACGCTAGTGTTGTCACCGTCAGTCGCATCCCTATCGAAACTATCGCCGCCGCCGCGATGCGAGAACCCGAGCTGACTGAGACTGACTCCTTCCGATTGAGAGTTCTGTCTTCGGAGCGGTGACTCCGTATCGTTGGCAGACTCCTGCCGTTTCAATGGACTGAAATCGGAATAACTGTTCTGTCTCCGCAGGGGGGTATCGTCGTTTCGCTTCTGTTTGTCATTATGAGGGTCGTCTGCGCCGTTCTGATAGTCATCGTGAAACAACTGGAAAGAGCCGCGGATGTCCTGCCGCGATGAACGAAGCGGCGGATTGCTGTAGTCTAGGGGACCTGGGAACGTTCCGTGTTTATAGAGTTTTATTCATTATCAATAAATTATTAATGACGCTACTGCTGGGCGCAAGCCTTGCCTACGGATGATCATTTGCTGGAATATTGAACATTAAACATATTACAAGAACCGAAATGCGGGGGGCTACGACGGAAGGCAGTATGACGTTACATTTTAATAAATTAATCTTCGACGTCTTTGTTTGAGAGTGACCAATCCTTATATAAAAAGAAATTTCCAAGTAATGTCATTTGTGTTCGTATTATATAAATTTATCAAGAATTTATAAAAAGTCAAGATCAGTACTTCGATCATCATCAATCGTCAAGTTCATTGAAACGAATATCGTCAGGATTGAAAACGTCACGTGATCGATTGATGTCGAGGGCATTTCAATTCTTTTTTCAAACTTTCCTTTTGTGAAAAAGAAATCTGAAAACGTAACCCAAACCAAAGTAGGCAATTATAGTATTAAGAGAAATCATACGAGCGCAACATACCGGCGGGCGCGGAGATCTTCCTGGCCAGCGGGACGGTGGCGAGCTCCTTCTCCGGGTTCCGTCCGGCGAAGTGCAGGCGGTCCTGCGAGCCGCCGAAGTTCTCCACCGTGAGCTGGCTGTCGTCCGACACGGACGAGCGCCGCGACCGCCGCCCCGCGAACGAGCCCTGCCGCGCCCGCGCCGTGGTCAGCCCCGCCGCCGCGCCCCCGCCCCCGCCCCCGCCCTCGCGCTCAGGGGACCACACGCGCGCTGCCCCCGGGAACATTGAGACGGTCACATGATCAATTCGAACACAATCGTCTGACAAAGGGAAGAGAATTAAAAGGACTATACTGAGCTGAGCTGATATAACCCTGCGTCGTGTTGCAATCGCAATTCTTTCATTCTATTAGGTACATACACTGCGCAAAAGCATTGTACTGCCCAGATGTGTCGATGATCTTCGGAATTACGAAGTACGCCGATGGCCGTTATGTATCTCGAAGTACTGCATAAAAGTACGTGTAAAACACATGCAACCAAACAGGACTAATTCAACACATGTTCTAAAAACTTAACTGTAACTCGATACATCAGAAGAAAAACGATTGCAATGTCCTGTCGTGATATTTTTAATTCTATGTTTAATGACGCTTCGCTCCCGAGACGTGTGTTTAACATTAGAGCGGCAATTTAAATATATTTTTTGTATAAATGCAAAATAATAAATATAAAATAAAAGAACATTATACAACACCACATACATTGCTCAAATTTCAAAATGAATACCTAAAGTCCCCACATATTCCAAGATAACGAAAGTGCCGTAATACCCAGGTCCGAAACAATGTAGAAAAGATCAGAAACCGAGACCTCAGAGATGGCACCACCGTGAAATCGACGTGCGACCACTTGACTACATAGATCATCAAACACGCAATGAACAAATCAAAAATTACGGAACGACATAGAATTATTATTTATGCTGTAACAACCTATTTCTACAATGCTGTTAGTGTTTTACAAACAACCCTGTATATGAGTAGTTCGTATTAGGCATTAAAATTAATAAGATACGTAAACTACGTATCTTTTTAATTTTGATGCCGAATATATCCAACAAATAAATAACATTGGTATATTATATACTATTAAAAAAACTCGTCCTATTTACAGGAGACTCATGATATATTTCTACGGCACCGTATCTTACTGTTTAATGTGTCTTTAATTATTTTATTAAAGGTGTACGCTAGAATGCATATTTTTCTGCAGAAATAAATCGATTTTTATGTAATATTTACTTGAAAATTCTTCACTTTTGTATTTGGCGCTAAAACGGGCGCGTAATGTAACTCATCACGATGGGTCGCCAGATCGTATTGATGAAACTACCGAACTTAGCCTAGCATTTGCTGAAGTTTATCATTTTAGAACACACAGTAAATATTATAGAATATTTTGTTTTGTTGTTATTGATAGTTTCCACAAAGTTTTGTGATACCTAATTTTATCCTCAACTCTATGTCACATTATAGCCCTATTGTTATTGCAGTCCAAGGACCGTATATTCGTATAATGTGTTTACTCTTGATGAGTGCATAGAAAGAATAAGTAGTCGACTGACTGTTGTCCTGTTGCCTGGCGAGTGCCGCGAGCGTGGTGAGCGCGCGGCCGCGATGCACCACGAAGTCGTCCGGCTGCGGGCTGACGCTGCGCCGCTCCGGCGTGGAGCACACCGAGCGGCCGCCCACGCTCACGCTGCTCACGCCGCTCATTCCGCTCACGCCGCTCATGCCGCTCGCACCGCGCGGCACTGAGCACATACACCACAGCGATACGATCATTTACCGAGTAATGTCCATCACAAATGGTCAACATAACAAAATATCTCATAAATTAAATAAGTCTTCGTGTTTTTTTTTTACGTTCACTGTCGGAAGATTTTTTACTTTACTCATAAAATCAATCATTTTGGAGCTCCTCTAATTACCTTATAACAAATAAAAACAAAATTTAATAAACATATTAAAGCTTATCCAAGCGATCGCGCGTCAAGATATACAAAATTATAAAATCTACCAATCGATTTATACGTTAATTCATTGAGAGCAAAGTTTAAAATTGATTACGGAAATTTGACATTTTGTGGCAACCTGCTGCTATATATACTACACTAACTAAATATGAATCAACGTAAATCTAATTAAGTGTAAGGAACTAACATGACGAACCATTAAAAAAAATTATGACACTGAAAGCAAAAAATATCACTTTTGTAAATATCTACTTGTATAGTGCATTCTTGATTTATAATTTCATACTATGAATACTAGGCTCTACAATCCAAATCAATACCACTATTCTACCATATCAAGTGGTGGTGTGTGCTTTTTTTACCTCCGAGTACAAAGAATGTAAAAAAGCATGTGGTTAAGATATTTCATATATTAATGAAATTAAAAAACACCTTAAAATAGTTTAACTCCAATGGATTTAACACTTATTGAGCCCAGAGGTAAAGAATTTTTCAAATCAAACAGGGAGTCTTAAGGGCATAATTTCAATAACTCCAAAACAAAAAGTGCTCAACGAATCAGAAAGCAAACAAGTAAAGTCACATGCAAAGCGATTCTGTGAAATATGAACGATCGGATTATATAAAGCGAGTTACAGTGTTAAAAGTTTATGATGAGATTTTTTTTTAAATCGTGAAAAGCGTCTTAACTTAAGTAGTTCACAACAAAACATTCGTGTAGAAAAAACGTACCGGCAAAATAAATGGTGACGTATACATTATACGAGTTGATGATCAGACACGCACGCACGCACACACAGTAAGTGTAAAGTAATCACACTAGCTGCGCCCGCCCCACACGATAACGCGTGTATAAATCAATTTATGTTATTATTAGGCTCGCTTTTGTTGTGTTCTCTCCCGATACTTAAGTTTTAGTTTTGCGAATAGTATGTAATATACATAAGTGTAATATATTAAAGTGTTTATAAATAAAAAAGGATTTAAGTATCATTATTTTTAAATAGGAAGCTTATTACAAGTTTTTAGGTTTAAGTTAGGTTATCCAAATTATCCAAATACAAATTATTATAAAAGGATACCTACGACAACAAAACAAAAGCCTTGTAATTTATTTTCCAATTTTCATTTAAATTAAATCAATATCAGTCGTTGACGTCATTTTATAAACAAAATACTAAAGCGCCCCAGGAGCGACGACTAACTCTACCAAAACACACGCTTTAGTCGGCCGTCCTGTCGAACGTTAAAACTGACATTATCACGTACAAAACCAGTTAATGAAAGTTAGCTGGGCATTTATATAGCCATTTTAACCAGCCAGCTGCTACATACAACTTTATAAATCGAGAAATAAATAAGAAAACGTAAATACTTGAGACAGTTTTTATTTTAAAGTGATTATCTATAATATGAATTAAGTTCAAAATAAGAAACACACGGTACGGGTGAGCGCGGCTAGTGTGGGTAGTGTGAGTAGTGTGGGTAGTGTGAGTAGTGTGGGTAGTGTGGGTAGTGCGGGCAGTGTATGTACCTGTGAAGGGCGCGCGGTGGGTGTGGTGGAGCGAGGGCGGCGGCGCGGTGTCGGGGCGCAGGTCGGGGATGGGCGCGGGCGCGGGCGGCAGGCAGCGCTTGTGCCGCACGCCGTGAGCGTTGCTCACCGCGCACGCTGCGCAAACACACCCACACCCGCTCACTCAACGCTCCACGCTCCACGCTCGCGCTCACACGCCACCACGTCCCGCTAGGAAGACGCCTAAACCTTTCCCGCACCTCGCACACGGTTGTACTGACGGATAATATTACAGTATGTCTGCGATAATAGTTTCGGAGATACGGTGCTGTGTTTGTTGGAACTGCTGCTTGTCGGCCGCAAAGGCTCCCTACAAATTCGAGGCACTAAGTGACGTCACAGAGTGCTACGGTAGCGAAAAACGTATGGGCGTCTGGGCGATCTTTATAGATTTTTTCTGTTTGCGTTTTATATGTACCGAACTCGTTTCAACTTTTCATTTTTTTTTCCAAATAAACGTAATAAAATTCATTTTGTTTAATATTTATAAGTTAAAATAGTTCATATTTTCCGAACATGTAACAGTAACCTGTATTTTCACTTGTAGGACACGAGCCTATCACGTGATCAACTCGAGTCGCAAACGATAGCTCCGATTTAGACTTTGTCGGCTTATCGGGAATAAAAAGGCGGCATAATTACGAATTTAGATATCGACACCGGCAAAAATGCACGCTAGTAAATAAATAATTAGTTTATCTCGATCTCGTCCCACGTTCGGATCGATATGCAGTTCTTCCTATCTGACGAACACGTCGACCTAGTTCGAGCATACAAACTTTATGTACTAATTAATATTGATTTGTTTGTTGTCAATGTAAGTTAGTATGAAAAGTTAACAAAAAAAATTGTAGTTTCTCGTTAAAACTTAATTATCACCTAACAATTTATACTGATCATATTATTAGACAGTTCTTAAAATACAAAGGTTTAGCCTGCTTCCTAGCGAGACGTCCGCGGTCTAGTAGATATTTGTATCAGTACGAACGACCGACCGAGCGGGTGGCGGTCACCCTGCCTTGACTCACCGACTCCGCGTCTGACCAGTTCACTTACTCTAACTTAACTTCACACACTCAGAACGCAAAGGTAGTCGCACCTCATATCCGATATAACTTTTATATGAAATTTTGACATCTTGAAAATAATGACGGTGACTGAATTAATAGCAACATGCGCTTTATCGTTCCCGAAACCTTATGAGGCATTGCAAGCAAGACAGGGTGACAACGTTATGAGGAAATTCAGCGAAGCGACCGATTTCATATAATTTTTAAAATTTCAACCTTAAAATGACTTACCTCGTTACAATTTGCGTGTGATATAAACAATAACAAAAGAGTGTATATTACATTTAAATGAACGAATTACTTTGGAAATAATAATAATATCTGCGTTTAAATCAACCGTTTAAACCCGTAAGCCCCTCGCCTACTATAGTATAATGCTGTGGTTTTACAAGGTTCCGCCGGATTAAGTATTATTAATTAATAATAAATTACAATATTAGTAGGCATAAAAATCGTCGATATTATGACCACATACTCCCATTAAAGATCGGCATGCATCGTGAAGGTACTTATCGAATTAACCATTCTACGGTCGTGAGCTACGGGAGTACTCACCGGTGGCGGGGAACTTTACGGAATTAACAGGATGAACTTCCAACAAGTTGAAGAGGTCCGCCAGCATAGCCACTAAATTTTGTCTCATCGACCTGGACATTATAAAAGAAAGAAAAAAACCGATAAAGTCACACCGTGTTTAAAACAAATGAAATATTGACATGGATAAAAAGCGTCGACGGTGTGATTATAATGTAGGTGCGGTAGGATGAGACTGACCCCCTCATGTAGGTGACGTCCTCCGGCAGCATGTGGAAGACGTCGTGCGGCAGCGCGGTCCGGCAGAAGCGGTGCACGAGCATGAGGTTGTGCAGGCAGTCCTGCAGCGAGGCCAGGCGGCCCGCGCGCACCGCGCCCGCCGGCAGCGCGCCCGGGCAGTACAGCGACACCAGCGCCGCCAGCGCCGAGCCCGCGCACACCTCCTGCAGCGCGCCCACCGCCCGCACGTGCCGCGACGCGTCCTCCTGCACGCAGGGGACACGGACATTATCACTAAACAAATCGTGGACACCATAGTCGTGCGGAGACCGCTAGTTTTTCTGGCATCGCGACAGGAATATCCGGACTTCCGTTCGTTCTGGTGCACCGAGAGACCGATAGCGATTCATCCGTCCCGCTCGGTTACGTGGCTCGACGACTCCAACGGTCGCCCGAATTGCGAAAGTGGGTTCGAATTTTTAAATACTTTTCTACAAGATATGCAGAACGAATCGGAATTATTATTCACTTAGGATGCAGTATTAAAACAGATTCATATTGACCAAAATATGTGGAACAGGTTTGGTAATGCACATTCAACGATTTCAGAACGGATGTTTTAAACAACTTAAAATAATCAAAGGCAAATTATCATTAACGATTCGATCGATTGATATATTTTGTATTTGATCACGATATTGAGATGCCAATGATTTAGATCCAACAGACTGAAGTTTGTACATAATGTCTGCTATGAGCTGTCCATGTACACTAAAAAAGCGTACCATAGCGAGTGAGACGGTACCTCGGCCTTGTTAAACGCCTCGCAGGCGGCATTGATCCAGCACAGCAGCCCGTCTTCGTGCGGTACGTTGGAGTTGACCGGCAGCGGCTGACTGCTGCCGAGCCTGTGCACCACCGCCGCCACCCTGTCCATCGTCACCACTTCCCGAGCGTATAACACCATTATCGCTTCTATTACTGCCATGTGCGCGCTCTGAAATTTATCATTTACAAATAATAAACAAATTACTGGTTTGCGACGACATAACCAACGTCACTGGTCTCTGTAAGTTCTGTTTATTTTTTTTATATTACCGGAACATTATGAAACTGATGGTTGAGACGAAAGATGTAAGTAAGGATCGTACTTTGTAGGTTCGGTCACCTCTGCCTACCCCGCAAAGAATACGGCTTGAAGATATAGATAAGACATATATAGTAATATATGTATTTTGGACTATATTGTAACGTAACAAATGTGAATGAATTCTATTAAATGTTTTAACAGTGCAGATTAGTTTTAAAATAAAAACACAACTATGCAGGCATACTCAATGACACGCCTATGGCATTCATATCTAAATATGATAAGATTTTAAGTTAATTCTTAATCGTTGATTCGTTATTATTATAAATATTCCTTAAAACAAGAACAATTAGCAAATAAATATTAAACATCACAAACACTGCTGAGTCCAACAGTCTTCAGCTTTTTCTATAAGACTTTTTTTTTACTTTAAGTTAAGGAATGGGTTCGAGTGACGAATTTGAAGTAAATTCTAAATCACTATGTTTCAAAGTCACCATGTTAATCAATATTAAGTAGTATACTAACAATTTTGAGTGGGTTCGTCTGTATGAGTACGGTCTCGGTGAGTGCGCAGTCGGGCGGATCGGGCACGTGCACGCCCTTGCGCGCCAGCGTCTGGAGTATGTTCCAGTGGTTCAGGCTGTGGTAGTTTGGATCAGAGTACATGTTCGCTAGTGCCAGGCAGTACAGCTCCGCGTTCGCTAATCCGCCCACTATGGGCGGCTTTAGATGCTCCTGATCCTGATAACAACAACCCAGCATTATAAAAAAAAACAGTAAAGCTTCTCTTGGTCCTTATTAATAACTTAAACTATATCTAAAATTATTAGAACCTTTATGCAGTATTTTCGAAAATATTTAGTGTTTTGTAAATTTTAGTGCTTCTTGGAATGATGGGTACACCTAGGGAATGGTGAACTATGATGATATGGTGAAACAAGATTTATTCATATTTAGAATCACATTTATTCATAACTTTTTTGGACTATACTATAATTAACAAAATGGCACAAATAAAATGTTTTTATTCTTATACTAGTCACTTACATTTTGTAAAATGCTCTAAATTAACATCGACATAACATTAATTTATGACACTGCTAAGCTATATCTTATTTTTAATTACGTAGTCAATAATGAAGAAATTAAATTCTTTCGTATTTTATGTATAGATCATAGGATAAATCAAAGTCGCTCCCCGTTATCTCAATGAAGAATCTTTTAAACTTAACCAAAATCGTCAATTGATGCTGCTACCTAGAAAATATAACAACACAAACGACGCCAGCGGCGAATAAACATACAAATTCAATCCTACAGCTATTTTTGTGAACGTTTTAAATGTCATGAAGATTCAATTTAATTATTCATCATCATTCGACTAGTGAGCGCCGTTCGCTGCGACAATAAATTACTATATTAGATATATATTTATTAAACTGGTAAAAATTCAGTGGATCAATATCGTCATAAAGAATCGTGATATGTACACGTGGGTCGTTCGTTCGTTACATAGCATTAGTGACACACAAAGCTGACAATAGTTTTATTTAATAAACTATACATGAGGTCCGCCTACTTGTTGGATACACAACATTCACAGGCAACACAATCAATAACATTACAATTTATATGAAAGATCCGAGATATTTTAATACGAATTCTCTAAATAACTCACTCGACATTTACACGCAATCATTTGAGTAATGCAGTAAACATTCGAAGTGTTGTATTCATATCTATCATAAAGATCTCACTACATAAGTATCCCTTTTTTTCGATGACGCACACCCTACACTGATATGACGTAACTTCGAAGCCTGAAAATAAATCACTGGAATGTCTTATATAACTTAGAATGTACAAGGGCTATACACCAGGTAATCTTGGAAGATCAAAAATTAAATATTTATTTTAGCATTTGCAAGTTCACTCATTCTACGTGTTTATGAATTCTTACTTCGAATGTTTCCAAACCTGCGTGAGTCCAATCTTAAACGTGAAATAATAATGACAATACTTTATTGTCACACCACTTTACAACAGTACATGAACTTGGCAAATTAAATATAACATGGTAGTGCAGAGATTGGTGGTTTTATTTTTAAAAGCGATTTCTACCAGACGACTTTTAAATGGAAAAATGAACTTATCTATAAGGTATATAACTAAGAATAAATAAAGAAGTTTTTGAGGGAGATTTTCAACCAGTTACACAAATGTCCTATAAAATTACTCGTAACATTAGTTTAAAGCGACAATACCTAAAGACGTCATTAGACCTTAATGGATTTTTGTGCAACTGGCCGTTTGAGTCACGTTTTATTTAACCTTGTCGCGTGTAGGTGCGGTCGTCAGACATCCACCGTTATGATGTCACTGTTTTTTTAACAACCCTTATTAAACTGTCTCCAATATTATAACTAGTATTCAGCAGTTACTATTATAGTACACAATTAATACTATCGTATATTTACACGTGTGCAACATAATTTCGATAGCAACAGACAATTTTTCTTCGAGACCTAAAACTTTCCTTCGTGCAATCATATATACCAAACTAGACATTAAATATCTAAAGCACGAGCAGAAGGATAAAATAAAAACTGGTTCGATTTTAGTGTCGCATATTACAACATCGAATTAACATATCACTGACCATGGCACAAACTAGGAGCCGTTTGGTGTGATATAATGACTAGCGAATAACGCGGCCGCCGCCTCATCGCCCGCTGCTACAACTCTCACTTTCAGTTTTAATAACCTACATCTATCAACAATCAACACGCAAATAAGAGGAACACGACACGACTTGGAGAACAAGTATTGGAAACAAGTGCGTAACACGTCCGCGCAGATCTTCTAACGTAATGGACCAGACGATGGTAGAGGAAATAATCATCCATGCTTTGACAGTGCAGCACCATTGACTCGCATTAGCGACAATTAGCATTCGGACAGCCGCTGAAGTCATCCGGCGTTACGAGGTCGACTCTTGTCAAAATTATAGTGAGGCTTTACGGTAATCATCGCTCCAACATCGGCTGTTTTGCTGGCAATGTACAAGTCTGAGCCTGGTCGCACTAGACTAGAGTTTCTTAACCTCTTGTCAGTATTTTCAAAAGACTGAGCAAGCCCAGCTTTTTCCAGTTCTAAATCAATCCTATTATTTTATTAACACTGATACGTTAATAAATAATTTAGGAGTCCGGGCTTTGCATATATTTATACTTTGGGTGACCAGCCAAAAAAGTTAAGGCCCCTCGCCCACGGCGACTTTTTGTAGCGATGCATCTTTTCTAACGCGTGTTAGTCGCATTTGCAACGCGTTACTAACGCACTACTGCATCGCGATTGTATCGATATAAATGCGCGAGACCGCGTCGCGCTACTAACGCACTACTGCATCGCGATCGGGACTCACGTCTTCCTGAGTATTCGAATAAGATTGCAAAAAGAAAGGCATGGGAAGAGATAAATGAATTATTCAATGCAGAATTTGGAGAAAAAACCAATAAAGAAAAGAATAATTGTGGTAAGTTATTTATTTAACTTTAGTATTGGAGCCTCCGCACACACAAAATGTGTTACAATGTACTTGAGTCGGACTTCGCATATACCGTACTTTATCATTTAAAACGCAGATGAGTGTTGAGTATGATGAGATGTTCTAGAATGAGTAAATCAGAAAATAAAAATCAATGACCATCTGGTCATAATAACAACAACTGATGACCATCTGGTCATCAGTTGTTGTTATATGATTTTTCTAAAGATTTTTGTGTCGTATCTGCATCGCGACCGAATCGCGTTTGCATCGCGACCGAACCGCGTTTGCATTGCGACTGAATCTGGTCCCGTGGGCGCGGGCACACAGCTAGCGACTGCTTCGCGTCTGTATGGGCGCTTGTGCACTACACTGAATTTTCAGGTCCGGCGGTCCGATTTTTTCCGGTCCGGAATGACATGAAAAACTCGGATGAGTAGCTTGTGCACTTGTCCGTTTTTTTCCTGATCGGAGCGGCGCAGTGTAGGGCAGCTCTCTTTGAAGCTACACGTCACTTACGCTAGATACGATGAGATTGTTGGAACGTCGGTAATTCCGTTCGAAGACGTAGAAAGGTACCTAAATAATGATCTGATCGTTTTAAGACGAAAGCATTTTTTTTACTACTATCGGATGACTACTATCAGATGTAAAAACTTATACCCTTACTAATTTAGGAACAGCATTATTCACATAAAATAGCTAAAAATATCTGTGACATTAGAATAAAATTACTGATAATGGTCTAGTACTTTATGTTTAAATTTTTACGCGTGCTATTTTTTTTCGAAGTTTTGTAAAAACAACTTTCAGCGATTACAGAGATAGACCAATCGGTGGCGCCATTTCGTAAACAAATCGAAATAAGTGCCGTGTTAGCGGAGAATTATTATGCTAAATGAACTACGAGATCAGTTGACTGTATTATATATATAGGCATAATTTTATACGCGTGGTGTAGTTTCTTTGAGCAGAAATATTATTCCCTTAGAATACTTATTTTTTTAAATTTATAATGACACAAACATACATTAAAAATTGTATTAAATGCGAAAAAAACATTGAGTGTCACTTAATTACTTTTGTTAATCTTCTGTTTATTCTTTATTATTACTTCTGTTGACAAATATTTATCTATACTTATCAATTGTCTAAAAAAAATTAGATAATAACAAATTTCCAGGCAAACTTTCATCCCTTATTTTTCGCGATAAAATGTAGCCTATGTCCTTTCTTAAAGTTAAGTCTATTTACTATATTAATTTCCATTTAGATGGGTTCAGTTGTTTAGGCGTCTAAGCGTAACAACACTTATTTATCTTACCTTAAGTTATCGATACTTTTAATACGATTCTAAAATCTAGCTAAGTATCGATACTATACGCTGATCAAATTAGAACTATACCGAGTTTGCCAAAGCATATGCAGTGATATAATCCAACTATATTAAATCATCATATAAAATATAGCATTTTATAATCAACAATAAATATCGATTATAAGTTTATTGGAAATTAATAATTTTGCCGAAATAAATATCGATTCAAATCGATTATTTTTTCCCAAGCCTATTCCTTATGAATTTTCCGGATCTCGGACACAGCAGTGCACAAGCGTAAACACGTTTTTCATTGCCGCCATCACGAAACTGAAAAAACCGGTCCGGAATAGAGAAAAGTAAAATTCCGGACGGTAAAATTCCTGACAGTGCACAAGCGCGCATTACCTACATATGGCCTGACATATCGGACCTGAAAAAATCGGACCGCCGGACATGAAAATTCAGTGTAGTGCACAAGCGCCCTATCGATGCTACGCGCGAGAGCATCGCGACTGCATCGCTACAAAAAGTCGCCGTGGGCGAGGGGCCTAAGAATTGTATTAGATCATCGAGTAGCAGGATCATTTCTCGACGTTGGAATGATATGACTTACCACAGTTGTTATGAGTTTACGATACTTTTGAGTCATTGTAATGTTCATTCTTCGTATTGATTGAACTCGTATTCTGTTACGTATAAACAAGACGCGTGCCGATATTATCATTACTAGGTATGTGTGGTCACGTTTTAATCATATGACATAATATTTCGTACCGCAGATAGGAGCATTAAAACTACATCAAGAGTCCATTTGTTTTTATCCAACGCAAGCTCTCACGAAAGAAACGTTAGTCATAGAAGCCGTTGGCAGTCGACTTGGTATCACAAAAGGAGTACAACTAAATGACAAACGTCGTTTCGTCTCCAATGTCGCCAAAGCCCGCGGGGTCAAGGAGAAAGGCACCGTTGTTGTGTCAATTACAATACATATTATATGCTGACTTTGTGATTAAAGAACTTTTTTCTAATTTTCACATACACTCGTTATCTTTGTTATTTTTTTTCTTTGGCACTGGATTTGTTTTTATCTGTCATTATCTAAATCTTACTTTGGCTAAATTAAGTCAAATCTTTTTAACGCAATAATGAATCACAAAATTAAGACGACACGAATTGAACCAGACGGTTTAAGCGCTGAATCATTGGCTGATCGGAAGTGAACCGTACCGTGTAATAGAAACCTGAAAGAATCTGTTACTTAATTCATACGTTGAAACTACTGTACATTCTGTGATTTTAAGTGACGTCAAATGGAGTGAGTAACCACATATTAATATGAAATGGGCAAACCAGGTTTTCATATAAGACGGTAGACTAATAGCTTCTGGTGCACTTGATTGTAATGAAAGAGGAATGTTACAAACTGAAGGGAACCTATTATCTAGGAGAGTATATTATTTTTTAATAACAATCTGTCTAATACAATATTTTGGTCCACATACCCCTAGGAAATCAAGCACGATTTTAAAAGAAATCCTCTCCTCGCTATAGCAAATCTAACACTCCTTTTTTTAAAGTCGGTTGAAAACCTTCTGACCTTTACCAACTTCAAAGTTCAATCTAGGCGAATCAATCTGAAATAAATCTAGTTTAGTTAGAGCCTGGTCTGGTTTGCCTTTTCGCATTTAATTATTTACTAAATATAATATTAATACCATTGAAATAGTAACAATACACTAATTTTCCGTTATTAATGCATGCCATGCCAATCTCGATATCACAAAGTGAATATAATATACGTAAGCGGTGAATGAAATGTATCACACATAATATATCTAACAACGTATTTATAAATACGTAGCTTACAGTACTTGGAATTACAGGCACAATCAAAGCACCCGAGCCTCCGCGCAACGTGAAAACAAGAACAAAAGATCACAGTTTCCCAAAGACGGAAACGGCACTACTATTTTTACAGGGACGACAGCTTTACATAAGCTCGCCCGTGTAGGTGGAAAGCATTCCATTCTCAACCTTACGCCCTTGACAGTCGCATTAAGATAACGAACAAATTGTTTTTGGAAGAGCAGAACTTGATTGTTACCGTTTGTGGAGAAATATGCATTCATTAGGGGTTTATTTTCATCGTGAAAAATGGTCTGAGCTAAATTCGACAATGGAGAAGCGAGATATTGGATTACAAAGCTAGATATAATTTTTCGAATAGTTATTGTTTAATGTATAATGTCAAAAAAGGAGGTAAGTTTAAAATAGACCACAGCCTTAGATGGAAATCGGAGGAAAAATACAAAGTTTTATGTAGATATCGCACTGAAGTTTTGTAGTATATCGATGACAATAACTTGGCTGTTCACCTCACGGCGAGACTAAGCCTATAACGCTCCCCCTTCCGACCTCTGTTTTGGGTTCATTTAACTACATATTCACATACATAGTTATTGTTCGGCTAGATATATACGTACATATTGTATGTAAAGAAATCTTACATAATGTAACTTACAGAAACTTGAACACAATACAATAGGATTTTTTTGACTGTATTTGGTTTCGAAATATTTGGGGTTTCCTGAAAGCCAGAACCGACATTTCATAACGAAAGTTTACAATGAAGATTTCGCTGAAACAATTTTTACAATAACATCCTTTCCGATGGAGAATTTGAAGGTTTTCAAAGCTCTGAACAAACACAACAAGGACACTTACATTTTTCGACCATTTTTGTAACATCCCGTGGTTCCAGGCTACTCCGACACATTTTGGCATCCCACACTATACACACAGTTCTTCATGATAAGAACACAGGGCACTCCCAAAAGCATGTTTCCTCAGTACTGAAAGTGAGCTCGCGTGACTAAGTTTACTGTACAGTAACCAGGCCCGTAGCTATGGATGCTCCGGATCAATATCAACCACCGAACTATGTCAGAACTTATTTTAACTTCAAGGGTAGATAATGTCTCAGGTAACAAACAGTTATTATTATAATTAATCTATTATACGTTAAGTCATTTAACATTTAAACTAATGTATACGTATAAGAAAACCTGCCTCATCAATTACTTCCTTTATTGATGAAAACAACATAAAAATCCGGTCGGTAGTTTTGAGATTAACGCGATTATAACGAACATCAGCGGCGGGATTATTTTATAATATACAACGATAGTTAAGCGTTTCTTTTTCTTTAACAATCCAGCGCAACTAGTATGCCGAGTTATAGATAGAAAATTAATAGTGTAATGACCAAGACACTCAAGTAGTGATATGCTTAACTAAACCCAAGCAAAATGAAAAAGGCTGCCAACGAAATGTAATATAAATATGTGACTAAACCAAACTAACAGGTTCTGAGAAAGTTGGTACAAATCAATATTTATTCTTAACATTTTCAACATTTATATACGATTCTTTTATTTATTTTAAACTTATCAATGAAAGCGTTAATCGTAATCGACTATATGATCGAAATACTAGAATTTACATATCATATGAAATTACCACCATATAATCAACAAAACGAAATACACAAAATTAATTCAGATCTAATAAAATAATAGTGGACGTCTCAATGACAAAGTTATGAAAAATCATTTGAAATGTTCCATGTTATGGTTCGGCAATAAATAGTTAGTTGCATTGCAATCGAATTAATTCCACAACGGTTATTAATAAACATTTAAAGATATAGAAACAGTTGAGACGGTTATAACGGTTACGGTAATGTTTTCATTGCTCGAACAGACCAAGAGATGATTTTGACGAATTTCTATTCCTACCCATTAAATTGCGTGCGAGTGCGCCCCAACGGCTAGAGGTCGATCAGGTCGTAAAGAAGGCAAAGACCTTCACACTCGATAAGTTAATTTGAGGACTTCAAATCACATCAATCAAGTAACTAAAACATATACAAATTTTAAAGTTTTTTATTTTCTTCAAATGCCATTCACGTCATGTGTATATATTACAATATTTTACTGAAAAGGCAATTGAAAAGGTATTTTTACAGTTATAATGGCAGCTCTTCAAAGATTTATATAATGTAGAATAACAGTTGAATAATAGCAACTTGGAAAAGACAACAAACAAATAGATGCAAAAAATTAACAATAGTAGTGAAAATTAAACGTGAGAAGCGAATAGTTAATGAGCATTGAAGTGTGCGGGTCAACGACCCATTATCTGCACAAGTATCTTTATTTTGGTGAAATCTGTTGGATAATATTTTATGGGGTGATAATGGATTCTGAACTTTAATTGTAGTCTGCTAAAGTATATCTAATTATTAAAGTTTTTTGTGAAATATGTAGTCTAGCTAGCGCTTACTTTCGTTGCAGATGTCATTTCTAAGATCCCAGCTGTGATTGTCACTTGGTATACGATACATATGCAGTCCTATCTACGATCCATGTGTTAAACAATACTGCACATAAAGGCCACCGTCATTAACCACTGGATTTTATTAAACTAAGGTTATTCAGAACAAATTCAGAATGACGGTGACATTGCATCTCAGAGAGGTCGGATTGCTTTAGTTGTTGTCGAATTCAGTGAGGGCGCGTGTAGCGCATTGTATTAATGTAGCAGAAAAATAGTTAAAATACTTATTTAATTGCACCGCTAGTGTTTAGTTTGAACAGAGGTTCATTTAACTACATGACTCAACGTAATTTAGCTAAGCAGCTAAGTTTTTCATCAGACAGTCGGCTAACTTATTAAATATCAATTTACTAGGGTAGCCATATTATATATGAGCGAATAAACATAAATAAGTACTTAATGTTATTGGTCGTATTTAGTCAGTCGTCTTTACATTAAAGTACAGAAAAACTGGTCGCCTAATCTTCTAGGAATGCAATACAAACTCAACATGAAATCCTTGGCACACAAGGCAAGCTTGTCAACAGACGTATAAAAGTAGGCAATGGTATTATTTAGTCAGACGGTTAACGTCCAACAGAATTTCATAAACCGAGCTAATAAAGACGATTGGACATATCGTGTACCAAGTGTACATGTTGTTAACGCAGAAAACTTTCACAAACCTTTTAGTTTAGCTTTTATAGAACATACACATGTGGCAATCAGCTGAGAGTTATGAATACTTTAAGAAACGAGTTTTGCACAATTTTATTGGATTAATTACAATCTACAATACTATTTCTACGAAAGCTGGCGCTACATATGTTGCGTGTCGATTGCCGCGCCCATGCTTGGTATATGTCGACATATTAGCACATAACCTAAATTTAAAACGCAAACCATGATGGGCGTTTAACGTTTTTATCCTTGTATTACCAAAATTTCGAGTATGCAAATACTGTTATGTACATAATGACTCTATGCCAAAATGATATCCTGTAGATATACTTCGACTAGATTTGGCACATAGATGTCCAAAAGACAACATAAAATCAGATCCACATAACATAAAGGCAAAAATTTTAATATGAGTAGTAAAACATGACATTGACTTGATGGCATTACTAAACCTTGATCACCTTAGATTAGTTCAAATCATTTACATATTAAAATAACTAAGTAAGAAGTTATGTAGGGCGAATTCTTTTCGATTCCAACCAATGGACTTAAATCCAAATCTTTATTAATGGTAACGTTAACAACATTTACCTCATGATCCCTGTAGAAAGGCTCCAGAAGATTCTCGGGGACCCGATTGTTGAAGGCTTTCGATAACAGCCATTTGATCGACGCCCGCTGCTTCGACTGCAACAACAAAAAAAAATTTGTAAAACATTTAATCGTCCACTGTCTCTAGTAATACATATTTAATTTTTTAAGAATGTTTATTAGGAACAAGTGGTTTGAATAAGTTAATCACGACAAAGAAAAAATGTTCTGTTTTTTCGCGACTGAGTTTTGAAGCCATCGACATCTCTGAGGTCCCAGCGCAGGGTCGAGTTCCGATTCCCGACAAAGTTAATATAGAAAATAATATTGTCTATATTGTCTATGGTGTGGGTGGTCATAGTGGTATATACGTATTTAAAATTTCTTTAACACAAGGCCTTATGAGATGTAGTCTAATATATATTTCATAGTAAACGATAAGACAACTATTAAATATAACAAAAGTTAAAGTAAGTCAGTAGCTTAATAAAGACGGCTGAAATATTAATTTAGTGTAAATATTTACAAAGCCTCTTTATAGGGCACCGTACCAACGGGTTATATCCACATGGCATAACAACACATTACATGCAATAACAGCTGTCATTGCGCTAATGCCGGCAAAGATATAAGCGCTAGAAATGGTTACCGATGTACTCTCTCGCGAATGAATCGCCATTGAACTGGCGGCGCAGGCGGTCTACAATTATTGTCGATCGTGTTATGGCAACGTCCGCTTATTGTAATCGTACATCGACTAGTGCGAGTGCGACTGAACGGGGTCCTTGCCCCAATTTGACGTAGTATGTACCCACAATACTTTTGATCAACGTTGCCAGACATCCCGCCGATATTGACGAGACGTCCCTTTTTACATGTCCAAAATAAAGTAACGGGACCGACTCCCATTTCTTCTGCTTTTCGCCGAATATATAGTTTATTTATTTGTGAATTAAATGCTACTGCTTCGACATAGCAATTCAACGTAAGTTACCCAAAAGGGTTCAAACCCTGCGTAGCCTGAAAAAATTTAGCGATGCTTCCCCGAATACACAATTCATTATCAAAAAATAACCTTATAACTGTTACATGCGTTTAAAACAGTTGATTGAGCTTTAGGTCATTTATAAGTATTATTAAATTGGAATCATTAGCCAACCATATAGAAACAGAATAAGTTGAAATGGCAAGTTTTATCTTTAGCTAATATTAGCATAGGACTCAAGTTGAATGAAACGATATCTGTAAAAGTCATCTGATAAACGAAGCATTCATATGCCAGCACTCGCTGCAATGGCGTATATCACAACTGAGATAATATCATGTCAGCTTAGTATAAGAATTCTTGGAATCAATAGAAAAAATACTACCCCTTTATTACATAAAATAAACTTAAGTAATACTTATGTTATTATTGTAATTTGTGTCACTAAGTGTTACTTTAACAAGTATTGCCTGAATCGGCGAGCTTCGTAGCGTGCAACCAGTTTGTAAAAGAAGTTTTTTTACTATTTTTCATTATCTTCCTTGTTCTCCCTGCACAAGGACCTTCGTTAGACTTCCGACGAACATTTAAAAAATAAAATTTGTCCAGTTGTTATCGGGTTTTGCACTTAGCAACACGTTTATTTATATAGACAGATATCGTAGCGGCAGATGGTTGGCATTCCGACAGGTGTGGAGTAAGAAATTTGGATCGTATCGTTTCATAAAGAAGCAAAAACTACCAACAAGGGCAAACTGGTTTACAGACAAAGAACGCCGGAAAGACCTAGGAACACAAAACAGTTGACAACAGCTGATGAAACTCATCAGACATAGTGGCTGGTAACGATAATGACTATAAAAACAACATCGTTGCCAACCGACACGCACTAATGGAAGTTTTATTTGAATTCGCTCCACTTTTATAATACCACTAGTTACCCCCTGCAACTTGCTTTATCATAATCTCCAGTGAAACTTTTTGCGTCTGCCAAGTTTTCTCGAGATACAATCCATTCAGTAGATTGAATTATTCCAACAAGTTCAAAGCGACGACAGAAATAAAACTATCAATACTCTTGTATGGAAAAAATCAATATCGTGTCAAGGTCAGTTAGATAATTGTGAAGCTGTTAGCTGCAACAGTTCTTGTGCTCAGCAGCAGTTACGGTAACAGCGTAAGCACGCAAACTAGAAAACATTCACACACGACACGATACATTCTGATCACTCACTGTTATTAGCGCAAGGTAATATTTAGCATAGAAGCATCATAAGAAATCTTTCAGACGCTAGTAAATATTAAGAAATTTAATTAAAGCGTTCCATCTGATTAACTATGTAATGCATGCAACGTTGCGATATTTGCTGAATTACTATTTTAATTCAACATTAACGATTCAGTGATGTCACTTTTAAAATACCAAGAACATAAATGCGCCGTTTATGACAAGTCGCTAAAAATAGAAGAGTAACTCCCATAATAAATGCACTCCAGATCGACGCTCATTGAGATTGACTGGTAAATGAAATATAAACACGGTGAAATCTAGTTAAAAAACACAAACATTATAAAGGGCACTCTCGAGGCTATCAATAACATCAAACGCCGACAAATCATAAAGAGGCCGAGCGTGCCGGCGCATGCCAGATTTAAAAATAGGCAGAGACACTCCCGAATAGGAAGTCGCACTGAGTCTGACTCGAGAAAACCATATGCGATCAAATAATTCTACAAGAAATATCGACAACCTAAAGTAAATCATTACAATACTATTAATCAGGCCAACGCGAACTATAGAAGGAACGCAAACAAATAATCATTTACATCAACAAAGTAAATTAAAATAATGAAATTTTAGCTCAAGCTAATTTATTCAACAGTTTAAATTAAAGAAATTTATTTTGTAAAAAAATGCAAATTGAATAATGTTCACTTTCTACGACCTCTTTCTCATACACAGACGTTCGATAGTCTATAATAATAAGCAATGTTTTTCCATTAACAGCAGTACAATGGCTATGTTAGGTTAGATTTCCACTAGATTATCCTATTGTATTGTATCATCGTTTACTCCCTAATAGAATGAACAGGGATTATGAAAAGACATTTAGTCTGTAAATATTATAATTAGCGTTTCGGTCATAAAGTAACGTCTATTAAGTAGTTTCATGTACCACGCCATAACATATAGCAAGTGGAGCGAGCAACCACTCTCTACACTCAATTCGTACTGGTTAATTGCGGTGTAATTAGTGGAATCGCCGGTGCACATTCGCATTTCACTCTCTCTCTGGACTAACAAGAGGTTTCGGTTTAGTTCATTAGTAGCTTCAGAAGTGGACTGCGGAAGGCGATACTTCCGTCGAGTTCGTTCATATGTCGCGTCACGGCAACCACGTCGCGAACCATCCGAGCGGAACGTACACAACCATCACAAACGAGTGAAGAGAAATTTTCGACTTTAAATAGTTTATTCATTATATCATCAGAACTGGAACTTTTAGGAGGATGCAAATTGAATTACGATTCACATAATTCACATAACGCTTTGCTAAAATCACTGAAGTAACTTCATTCATACATAACGTATAGAATTACCGCAGGAACAAATTGTAATACGGAACGGTGCCTAATAACCTATGACCGATATTCAATCGAACGATACTAATTCTATTACACAAATACAAAGAGTACGAACAGAAGAGGTCAAGGGTTATTATTACACATAGCATTCGAATACCGCTACTCCATTAAAATCAGAACCATTTAAACGATTATCAGTGGAGCATTCGATACGTGGAAACTGGAAAGGCGAGTTGGCACCTGCTCCCACGCGAGTGCTGAGGTCAGGCACCCACGCAGCGCCTCGCGCCGCCTCCGCAGCTGGTCGTCGCGCCGGAGCTCACTTGCTTGAACCATTGCAACTAATGGCTCCACCATTACTTTACTATACCCATAACATACGTACACCATTACTGTACTTTAACGAACACGGATAGATGTACTCAAGGCAGAAATATATCTGTGAGAGCATTTTTTTAAGTTATTGAAGTTGAATTAACAGTTATAAATTCAAATTTCCAAATTTATTAAAACTAAAATAAATCATAGAGTAACATAAAGAAGAAGTGATAAAGCAAAACAAGAACATTACTTCGAAATCTAAAAAGAGATCACTAAAGCGACAAAAATAAACAACGCAAAATCGATCCGACATATCCGACGTGAACTGAACGCGGAATGATTCATAGTTGTCCAAACAAGGCAAGTTGACTGAGACACGCCAGCGAAGGGAAGAACTCTAGATGCTCTTATTTACACTTAACTAGGTACTCGGTTGGTCGACTAATAGTTCAATAAAGGAAGCGACCTAGATGGACTAAACGAGGCAGCTACGACTAAACTTGTCGATATGGAATTTAACAAGGCTACCATTGATTGTTAGACAACCTTTAACGATACAGGAAATAAAAATGTATATATATGTTCCTGTTTAATAATAGAAAAGTTACCGGCGAAAATTAATACTACCATTAAAATTGTAGTGGTGAATATAAAACAATGGACAATAGAAACGTGACAAGTATTATTTATTAAAATTACTACTCAGAAACTCCAAAATAAGGAGGTGGGAGATACACAACGAATGCAGATATCAGTACGGCTTTCAACGAAGCTAGCATAGGGATTTATATCGAACTAGAAATTCAAGGGTAGTCCGGTGGAATCGCAGCGAAACGTAACATTCCCTGCTTTTCGCGTAGTGGAACTAATGGTATTACAATTATATTCGAAATGCAGGAAATAAAAAATGATTAGGTCTTCTGAGTCACTCTGCGGCGACTTGCAATTGTCTATCCACCTGACCGATCGTTACTCACGATGTTTCTCTGAAATGATTTATAAAGAGTTGGCTATTTTCGGTTGACAAAAAACTCTCACTTAGTCACGAAAATAATCGTTATTTAAAGTAAAATTGGAAATTGAAATTTAGGCATCGTGATTATTTTTACCGATGTATTCAATCGAGCAAAGGCATTAGTATATCGTCAACGACGTACGATAGATGACGGGAGTCACAATGACAAAGATAAATATGAAACCCACGCCACCTTCATAAGTATTATGTATTTATGTTAGATCTTTAAAGAAATTTTGACATGTCCTAATTTAATATTGCTTTAACAAATAATACTGATATTTAAGAGTTATTTCTCTTACCTGAAGCACATTGTATAACGTTATATTTTCAATTACTTTACTAACCCTGTATAGTGCAGTAGCGCTTTCAAAAGAAGGTATTTTAAAGGGAATGAGAATACTATGTCAAGGTCTAATGTTCGAACTTATATCAATAAAATTGATTGTCTTCTTAGAAGTAGACAATGAATCTAAATATTAGACTTTGGTACGTATTAATAAATACTTGTTTGATTATGCATCCATGTTTATTTATAAGATATAAAAATAACGTTTATTGAGTATAGACTCTGAACAAGAATTTGGGGAGTCAAAGCCTCCAATTCGCATCTTTAAAGTGGGCACTGTTGTATCCGAAATGTAAAAAAAAATAAGAAACAGAATAATACCTATTTACGCAAGATATTATTAAATTCAATTATTTTGGACGCCTAAGCAGATAAATAGTATAAAGAGCTGAACAATAATTATGCAACGAATGAGAACGGCGCAGGATTAAGATAATAGAGGCCTTAAAACCTACAACGATATTTTCGCATTACGAGATACCATTGTCAAGGTTTGTTGCGGCTACAAACCAGCCAATGTAGGAAGCCGTAGGAAGTAACGGATAGTAATTTATAATAGTTTATATCACGCTCAAGTGAACATTTTG